AAATAACCATTCTTTCAGATCGTTTCGACATAAATCTTACTACTTATATATATATACTAGTATCTTAATTCTATCTGAGTTGTTGATCTCTCCATAATCCTGCAAGACTGTACACAAATCCACGGTAATGACCGTTTGGAAACCTGAATAAACCCGAAAAAGTTGTCCGAAAAGCTACTAAAACCGTACGAAAACTCGATCTCTCCGTCAATTGCATTCTTCATAAAGGCAAGAGAAAATAGCCGTTCTTTGAGATCGTCTCGACGATCCGGAATCAATATTATAACAGTTTTCAAGCCTTGCACGTGACATACTTCGCTGATACACAACGGGAACGTCACGGATCGTCCCAGATTCAGCAACCAGCTGGCATTGAATACGTCTGGCACCATAAGGCCAGCGCCGAGGACGATTTCCTGCGATGCTCGAGCACATCCGCTGCAAAAGCTGCGCCCGTTTGTCACGGCTGCAGGTTCGCCTGTCTGGTCGCGATGTGGAAACCGCGAAATGTCACGAAAAGAGCCTCGAGGATGAGAATCGAGGTCTTAGCTCGCCAAAGGGATGAGAAGAGAAGCATCGGGCTCGATCGTCGAAATAATATCCGAAGAATTTCCATTATCCGGAGGCGATTCCGCGCCATCTCGAACAGGTCCGAAGAAAGGCCTGGAAAGGAAGAGAGAGGGTATAAAAAGAAGTTGGTTCGAAATCCCACTTAAGGTTTGTTCCCGACGTTGTTCGCCGAGGCGGACGAGAATTATGAGAGGAAATCTTCACGGTTAGGTAACTTGCGCGTGTTCTGACCTTTGACGTTTGAACAGTAACGAAAGAGCGGGCAAGGTTGTAACGTGAACAGCTTGGGATCGATGAGAATCCGTCGAAATAATTTTTGCTTCTGCAAAATGGAGAATACACTTAAGAGTTATTTCAAGAATCCAGAAATATTCGATATTTCTGTTAGATCATTTCGTGCCCTAGGAGTCCTTCTGGGGTCCGTGCTGGGTCTGTAAGCTAACACGAAAAGCGTTCAGGTTGGAAACAAGTAATGCTTAATTCTAGGAATATTTCACGAATGTTGAAATTAATTATAACGTATTTGCAATAATACTACCTTAATTTTAACTGGTACCTCTTTGTTATGGAAGTCGTTCTTCAGTGTTGCACGAAGTCCTACAGCTCCTGGTGTTTATAGTGGCTTCAGCCAGGACGAAAAGCGCCGAACCTGAAACAAATAAAGTTTAGGTTAGAGAATATCTCGTGAATATTAAAATTAATTATAAAGTACTACCCATAATTCCACCTTAATTTTGACCTATACCTCTTTACCATAAATATTCGCTCTCTAGCGTGACGAAAGGATAGATTAAACCAAGTGAAACATCAGCACTTCTCTGTGTATCTTCAACTGAATTGCTTAAAAAGTATTAAGCTTCGCGGTTAAAAAATATTCGAGAAGAACTGTGTTTGATAATTAGAATCCTCGTTTTCCCCATTTTAAACTGTACGTGGATTGTACATACTTGCCGAGCTATATGTGAATTAAATTTTTGAGAAGGAAAAGAAGAAACGAAAGGCTAAAGTCTTCGAATGAATTACGAATAAATATTATTTAATTATAATAATTATAAATATTTGGCATAATTGCACGTGGCTTGTACGGGAATGCACAGCTATGTGCGAATAAAATTTTTCGAGAAGTGGAAGAAACGAAAGGCTAGATACCTGAATGAATTACGTCACGCCTTTGCTCTCTCGATATTTATTTATGGCTAACAAGCATGCACGAATGCGCATACGTGTACGTTTAACGACGACAAGCATCCGTTAATATTCAACGAGAACCCCGCCTCCCTATATCCTGTGCGAGAGCAGAAACCACAAGGTCGTCCTCAAGGAATCAATAAGAGGGATGCTAATTTCAGTCACTTTGCGTATGCGATCATACCAGCTAATATGCGTGAAGATACTCTATCGTATGACCTCGAAAATAAAATAATAGAACGCATAGTGTCCGTACCCGTTTTACGGTACACGGGCAAATTACATCGAATTAACGAGCAATTACAATAAATTCGGAATATTCGAAATAATTGTACTAATTTAATTGAAATTAATTAAAAATTAATACAATTGTAATAATTTATCAGTTATTAGTACTAAATTCCACAGAAATGGGGTGAAAGGATTAATAGGAAAATAATTCGAACAATTTCTGCACCGCGTTTTCTGCGAATTGCCTTTGACTTAAGAGTCGAAGATCATTTTTCATGCACGTGGAAAGTTGTCGATGTATAATGACTTATTGATAAAGATTAAAGTGACAACTCGATTCATGACATTCTGTCGTCCTCACTGGTCTCTATACTTCTGACAATTATCACAACAAAGAAATTGGTTAATTGTCAAATTAATTAACCAGACTCAAAAATCATCGTATAATTGGAGCAACCGGTTGTTTTTCTAGGTCACTAGGTCTTCTGAATCAACCCGTGTTTCATCTTAACAAAGTCTATTATAATATCTCTCCTTTCTGCTTTAAATTATTCAATTACATCTACGAAGTGGGGAAAATACGTTCTTTTCTTATCGAGATTTTAAATTCCGCTTTGCGTCGCGATATTAAAATCGACGACTTCGAGGAATCTGATACGAACACGAAGAAGAACATACGCGAAAACGCAACAAGAAATCACTCGCAATTTTCCACAAACGTTCCTTCTTATGAAATATTTGAAATTGCGATGTCGAGTATTCTAGAATTACAATAAATTCTCGTGGTGCATATATCATTTCGTGAGCAAAAAAAAAGAAATGGAAAAAAGGAAAGAAAAGGACGAGAAGGAAAAATAATTGGCAAACGAAGGATATCATTTCCCAGAAATCGAATATTTTTCCGCTGTCCACGTTTCTACGATAAAACACGTCGCATTCGCGTAATGAAAATGTAACTACAATCGTGACGCTCACACACACACAAATACGCATACAGACAGAGGTCGCAGGTGAAACGTTCGTGGACAAGGGAAAACAATTTTTTACAACCCATCATTACGATCGTCTGTAATTGGCACATTTATGTGACTTTTAATTGCCGCTGCCGTTTGCCTGAATGAAGCCGACGGCATCAAACCTTTAATGTCCTTTCATTACCATATCGTGCCCGCTATACTGTATTTACGTGATCGCGTATATGGTGGCTAGCCGCGATTTCATCGTATTTTAACGAGGCCTATTGTGGATCCAGCGAACAAAGAGAGGTGACTCGGTGTAATGAAAAATTAAAGGCACCCTGAATCACAGTTTAATCTACCGGGATCACCGTCAAAGTCGAATTTTCTGGAGAATATTAAAAACTGATTAACACTGGAATTACAGTCAACGAGTGTACCGAGCCTAATACCTGTCCAGATATTGCACGTATAGGTAGTATGTGTTATTACACAGATAATAATCTATATTAATTATTATTGTTATTTTTATTGTTGTGTCCACCCTGTACTGGGCCTAGTATCAAGAACGAACTATAACTTGCGGAAAATAGTAATCCAGGACCTAGTAGAATATTTGAGCAAAGAATAATCGTGACTGATCACTATAAAAAGGGGTGTCCTCCGCTAAGTTGACAGCGTTCAGGATTAATCTAATTCGTGAACATTAGGAATCGTTCGGCAATCCAGTCGTGAATAATAATAATAACACGTCGTGAACATTAGGAATTATTCGGCAATCCAGTGATCGAATTTATAGTAGAGGAGTTCCAAATGCGATCCGTAACAATATTATATAGATAATAATAAAATCAAAGTGTCCGGATGAAAATGATTTGAGGAATAAAAGTCAATATTAATTCTCTCCGAAGCTCCAAACTTTGCAATAGCTGCAGAAGAAGAATATCTGACTGATTTCTACCGTTTAATAGCTCTAGAGCAGCTGTTTAATGTCAAAGGTAGAGGAAGCAATTTTATCTGACACTTTTCTCTGTCAATAAAATCATTTCAGACGGATGAAATTCGATAGAGTAGACAAGAGATGAACGATAGAGGTAACCTCGCCATCGAAAATGTCGATATGATTGATCTAACACTTGTAAAACCGTAGGTACATAAGGGAGCTGAACTTCCGAAGATATATTTCATCCGGATGAAACTCGCTTTAAATCAGTCTCAAAATTCGAATTTATGATATTTGATCGTAACAATGCTACTGACATATCAACATGTTATCCGATGTATTAAATTCCGCATTAATTCGTGGATCAATCCTCGAAGTTCTTCATGTCGAGCTCGTGAAACTGATATTCTTCTCAAATTCGAACCGAGTTTCGAATCGAGACAGAGTTTAACCTTTCCTATATCAAAGCTCAGAGTTTCTTCAAATATACTTTATGATGGATCTGTGTATATCGTCCACGATCCATCTTAATTCAAGCCTGACATTGGCGGAATTTACAATTCCGACATCGGCACGGTAATACCACCTGTATAATTTACATTCGCCTTAATAACAACTACTATGCGAAAATATTTCACTTCTCGTCTGCTTTTGAAGTACCGTGATTCCAAAAAATATCAAAAACAACACGGAATATGATAAACATCCACAAATTCTTAAAGTCTGTCAATCATTGACAGCTTTCAGATACTATTACTACTCAACCCCTTGCATTCGAGGATCCTTTTGCTAAAAATTGTTTCAAGGAACCAGCGAGAAGAAGTATGGAAATTTTTTCCATAGTAACATAAGAAGAAATCGTCTATTAATCATGTTACGGAATTATTTTGTTCCAAAATATATTTCGCGTATATATTGTTATTTAATTTGACACGGATTAGCGATCTTCAGTGATCATTTTGCTGACCAAGGACTAACAATTACCTGTCAAGTGTAAAGGGTTAATTAATAAATACTCTATCGATCAGAATTATTTAATCGAGACTGTTTAATTAACATTGTTATTGGATTGGATAAATTAATAGATATTGATCCTTGATCTATATTTCTAGGAGTGTCAGCCGGAATTTCTGCACGATCTAGTGCTGAAGATGAAAGCTTACATATTCACTCCTGGTGACTCGATATGTCGTAAAGGGGAAGTGGCTAGGGAAATGTTCATAATAGCCGACGGAATTTTAGAGGTGATCAGCGAAACGGGGCGAGTTCTAACCACCATGAAAGCCGGAGACTTCTTTGGAGAAATTGGAATTCTTAATCTGGACGGATTAAACAAGTAAGTAACTTCAAGCACTTGCTGCTCTATCTCCAATTAATTTAACTTGCAAATAGTATCTAAATTTTTTTATTTATGCGAAAGAATTAGCTTCCCACGGTATTGGTCGAAAATGTCCATATAATTGAACATTCTATTCAAATTCTGTCGAATTGCAATGGCTATAGCAAACCAATCGAATTTTTCCTCCCTATATATGTAAGAAAATTAGCTCACCACGATATAAGTCGAAAATGTCAATATAATTGAACTTTCTATCCAAATTCTGTTGGATTGCAATGGTTACAGCAGACTAATAGAAACTTTCCTCTATATTTAAGTGTAAAATTTGCACACAGCGATATCACTCGAAAATGTCAATATAAATGAGCTTTCTAGTCAAATTCCATTGAATTGCAATGGCTACTGGAAACCAATAGTGTTTTTCCTCCTTATTTAAGATCAAAGCCAGCTCACCGCGATATAAGTCCAAAATGTCAGTATTATTGAACTTCCTAATCAAATTCTATTGAATTGTAATGGCTACAACAATTCAATAGGATTTTCCTCTCTTATTTATGTAAAAAAATTAGCCTACCACGATATTAATCGAAAATGTCAATATAATTGAATTTTTCAGTCAAATTCTATTGAATTGTAATGACTGTAACAATTCGATAGGAATTTTGATCTATTGCTTTCGAAAAATATTTCAAACAGTATTTCGAAGAACATTGTTCGTTTAAGAGGACTTAAGTTCGAGATTTTGCTGCTTCGTTGAAGAGACTGTACTTTCATTTAGCTAAAAGTGTAACGTGTCCCGAAAATTGATCGAATCTGCGAAACTTTGAGTTTTTAAAGTCAGTCAGAGCCATTTATTGCCATTTGAAACTTAGTTTCTAAATGTTGATTTGCAAATATTTCCAAAAATTCGACCTATCCTTGCTTCGTCAGTGACATGTCCTCCAAATATAGTAAGCACAATCCAAAACATCTTTCTAACTAACAACTCGAAGGATAATTGTATATAAAAAATTAAAAAGGACATCTCGTTTATCAGTATCATAAATTTCCTGGTTATTATTAATTCTTTGAAAATGATGTCATTAAGTTAACCCATTTGCATCCGAGCGCGGAATATTCCGCGAGCCAGGACTGTCGCCTATCACCGAGCGCGGAATATTCCGCGAGCAACGACTGTCGCCTATCACCGAGCGCGGAATATTCCGCGAGCCACGACGGTCGCCTATCACCGAGCGCGGAATAATCCGCGAGCTGACTTTTTCCATTACCAGTTGCTGAATATTTTTCATATACCACAGATCACGTTTTATCCCTTTTGTGAGCATCTCATCTACATCGGTTCATTATATTCTTAACAAGTTTTACTTTTGTCGTGAAAATCCTTTTAACTGCCATTATAAGTAAGAGCTGATACGCGCGCGGTGATACGGGCTAGTCGTCAGTTGAACGTCGCTGATGCCTGAACACGGCACCTTAAGTAAAGCCATGATGCAAATGGGTTAAATTCATTTCAATATGCTAGAATGTCTTGAACGAGCAACGTTTCAACGATAAGACCACCAATGGCGCGATATAAAATTTCAAATGGAATTCGAAGCACGTTACCTGCTGACAAGCGGAACAAGTTTTAAGAAAATTTGGTCCTCGAACGAATGATCGTAGCAAAAGTTTTACGAGATATATCGTAAGTGGCGCGATCATTTTATTCGTCACATGAATCCAAACGTTGAGAAATTTATGCGTGGAGCGGAGAGCTGAACTGGATGAAAATGCGGCAATAGTCGAAAACTGCAGTCGATGAAAGCTCCTTCCAGCTTTTTATTTTCCTCGCCTTCTAACCCTGACACACATATATAACTCGTCCTACTTTCTTGTTTCATCGTTCGCTACCTCCGAACGCACTTACCTCAAATTCCGTCTCGCCTTTCCATATTTTCCATGAAATTGAACAATTCCATCTCTACAATCATCAAATTGATAATGAAGCTCTCCGCTTCAACTGTTCGTATCTTTAAAATCGAGAACGCGATGTCACAGATATTTCTTTGAAGAATTGTCTCTGCCATTTTGGCGAATTTTCATTAGGAATTCAGATGTAACGAAGCTGAATAGAATCGTCGAATAAATGTCCCCACGACTCTAATTTCATTCCCAGACGAATTAACAGCGAGGATAACGCTAATTATTTTCAGAATATTAACTCGCGAGTCACAGCAAGTCGATGTCTCATAGAATATTTTAATTTCCAACTTATCCCCCTCATGGTTGCCGATGCAGAGACACGGGCCAGAGATGAACTTTCTTAAACTTGGCCCCGAAGACTTCGAGTTCGAGCTTAACTCGATTACAAAAACTAATAGCATAATTAATTTCATGAAAGCGGAATGAAGTTACTGTACAACTGCCGTGGAATAATTGATATGTACACGGAGTTCATTCCTGTAGTCATTGTCATCTGATACCTGGTTATTATCCACTCTTCTCTGTAAATTCTCCAAATTTCTCGAAGAATGTGGTAAATTTATTACCAGCTTCTTCAACAAACACAGACGTATAAAAATAAGAAATAAGCCAAGATCGTGTCAATACTGCAATTACTAACTCGTAATACATAAGTAAAGACATAAAATTTGACTTTCAAACTGACCCTTTGCACTCGAAGAATATTTTCACCCCTAACACGAGTTTGCAATGAGAAATATCTGGAAAACGTAACAAAGCAAGAAGATTTTAACAAGAAAAATATAAATATCCGTAAACCTATTCGTATAACAGCTTCAGACACTTATTTAGTTTCATCGATGAGAAGAAAATCGAATAACTAATTTTCAGCTACTCAATGAAGTGCAAAGGGTTAAGATTGTACTAAGTCCAAATAAATTCATACACCGCGTGAAAACGGATATCAAGTCTAACAAGATGAACTCAAAATTACAGACGCACAGCCGACGTTCGTTCGGTAGGTTACTCGGAACTGTTCAGCCTCTCCCGCGAGGACGTTCTAGCGGCGATGAAAGACTACCCGGAGGCTCAGGAGATCCTCCAGAACCTCGGAAGGAAGCGTCTGATGGAGGCGCAGAAGGTAGCCAGGGCGTCCCGACAGCCAACGTCACCTGGCCACGATTCGTCGGACAACAGCACGGGCAAAAGAATCGTGGACAAGCTAAAGAGCGACGTGAAGGGCCTGAAAAACGCGTTGAGAAAGAGCAGACGGAACACCAGGCCCGAGGAGAGCCTGGAACTGCAGCCGTTGACACCGAAGGTGCCAACGTTGAAAAGGCAACAGAAGATCGACGACAGTCAAGACGCGGCCACGTCGAACGTTCAAGAGCCACCCGTGTCTCCTTTGGGTGCTGGTCTACCTCTGCTCACGAGATTAAGATTCTTGAAAGAGAAAGAAGAACGCGAGGAACGTCGGAACCTCATGGAAACCCAGGCGCAAGCGCCTGAGCAACCGCAACCACCGTCGGATGCTCTGAACCCGATGAACCCGAATTTACCGTTCCTCCAGAGGATACTGCTGCTGAAGGCCAAGAACGAGCAAGAAGCGAAGGAAGCGGAGAAGGAAGTGCCCAAAGAGCCTCTGCTTCCGAAGAATAGCATACCAGAGGAGTCGCAGGAACAGTCGCCTAAACCACCTGCCAAACAGCTTCAGAAGCAACCCTCTGTCCAAAGTACCGTGGAACAGACTGTTAAATTACCGACCACCTCGAACGCGGAGAATACCAATGGTTCGATCGCGAGGAAGCCGTGGGCCATGCTCAAAGATGCCTCGTTATCCAACAAGGACAACTCGCCTCAAAGGAGTCCACCGTCGAGGAGGATACAGCTGAGACAGAGCCTGGTGCATCTGAAGCAGCAGACCAAGATGTACGCTTCCGTGGACGATCTGTCGCCAGAGTATTGCGGTCTGCCGTTTGTCAAGAAGCTGAAGATACTTAACGAGAGGCAGAAATTGGCGGAACTCGAGAAAGCGGTTAGGAGTTCGAGTTTGGACTGCGGGGAAAACACGGAGATCGTGTTCGATGGCAACTTGACGAGAAGCCACTCGGAGGCATGCGCGATCGAATACGCTAGGAAATTGGAGAAACTGAATCAGGTATGCGAGTCGAAGCTGTTGGAGAATCTTCGCTCCTGTTCTTCCTTATCGAATCCAGTCGATCGAGCACTGAGCCAGACTATAAGCCAAAATGATTAACTCTACTTTCCGAATCTTTTTAAATTTCGAATTCAAACCATTCGATCGTTGCCTAACTTTCTGTAACTGACACATCTGCTATCTATTTTTTGGAGCTAATCAGTTTGGCAAACGAGAGACTGGAGTATCGATGGATTAGGAGATATATAGTGGTTATCGAGATGGTGAGTTTGAAGGAAATTTTGATTGGAAATTTGAAAGGATGACGGGCAAGTTCGGCCCGGAACTGAGCATAACGTTGATCGACGTTGAGATATGAATCCTCTCGCGACGAATTTAGATCCCACTGTATTATACTCGGATCTCGTGCTGTATTTAGCTGGCTAATAGTTAATACCGGTCCCCAGTCATCGGAAACTTCGCCGATATGTTCAATCGAGCACGTGGAAGCTCTGCTATTCGGTTTCTGCATTATGCACGCTCGATTTGCTTGCTTCGTCCCATTCAGGTGGAAATGCTCCATCATACTCCTTTCCATATGCAGGGTATCCGCCTCTAACTTCGTATTACCCTTTTCTCTAACGCTTAAACTAGGAAATAATTTCGCCCCTGGTTGACTATTTTTACGAGACATGTCCTATTTCAGTAGGAAATGGAAATGCTGTGAGAACGCTGTGCTTTGTAGAATCAGATGGCATCGATGTCTCCCACGGATCAACTTTCACCGGAGAACGAGACGCTGGAAAGGCGGAACCTGAAGAGCATCCTGAAGAAACTGTCAGCCGGCAGCAGAACCGGAAGCTCGGAGACCTCGGCGACGAGCACGCCGGATCGCGAGGCTGCCACCGCCGAATTGAGGAAATTGATGAGAGCACCGACCATAGAAGGTTACGCGGCGCGGCACTCGAAGCTCTCGAAGAGCGTGACGTTTAACAAGTACACGCTGCAGAGCCCACCGTCCGAGCAGATCCCGGCTAATTATCAGCTTGGGTCTCAGTTGTCCGACTCCCAAGAGCAGGCCTCACTGCCACCGCCCAATAAACTCAGTTTCCGTCCTTTGGGCAGCGGAGGTATCCTGCAAATGGTATCTCGGCCACGAGAAGAGGAATACTTGGGGGAGCTAGTGTCTGGTATCAAAGAAGTCGTTAAGGACTGTCTGGTGAGTTTCTCTCCTTTTTCACTCTCTCTCTTTGTCCTTCATTTTTCTATTCTCTCTGTCGTCGCACGGGAGACTTCCGAGCAGACAGTTTGGGTTAAATTTCGTACGGAATGTACAGTTCATGCTTGCTGACTTTCACTCGGAGATGAATATCCATGTTCCGTTTGAGAAACAGAGACTGGTAAAAGAAGGAGTTTCGGGATCGTTTGTTCAGCAAGATAGCAGGAACTGGGATATTTTAGACGCAGTCTAATCTCGGGAAAAGGTTAATGTCAAAGAACGAAATCTATGAAGGAGAGATCTATGAAGATGCTTGGTTAGCGAAGTATTCTATCGAATCTTGATTTCTAGTTGCAATTTAGTAGCCTATGACAAGTGTTCCTCTTTTCTTACACTATCATGCACAAAATTTGTATACGTCTACGAGAAAATATGAATAAATATACAGGAAAAGGGAAAACTGGTGGCAACACTAGAGAACCCTATACAGGATTATGTGCACAGAATTTGTATACGTCTACGAGAAAATATGAATAAATATACAGGAAAAGGGAAAACTGGTGGCAACCGTAATAGCTAGAACTTAACTACATGTCGGGATACTTTTGATTAGCAAATATAAGGAATAAGAGATGGTTTATTACGAGCTAAAGGAAACTTCGGAGTAAGGTATAAACTAAAAGACTAGACTAATAACTGATATGATCACGCAGCTAACACTCTCACGTCAACTCTTCTTCAAACTCCGTAAAGGACAGTCTTAAGACAGCCCCTGCACCCTATTTAAACCTAGTCTCTCCTACGCATGCTTTCTTTCTCGTTCACTCGTCTCCCTTGCGACCTGGGCCTGATGGGCCAGGTACTCCAAACACTCAGACACATTCCTAACTTTCGCTCCTTGATCGCACTTGATGCAGTTACAAATATCCTGTTCATCCGATCCTTGCACGCGGTCAGTCGTCCTTGCACGTGCACTCCAGACGTCAGCCTGAACATAGGGCCTAAACCCTAGGCTGTTATTTATTGTCTATCATCAGCTAGGTAGACCCAAGTGTTCCCTTGAATATACTCTCAAATCCTAGCATTCCTACATGTATAAACGGCCACGGTTCCTCCTGTGGCACCACGGTGTCCATTGGTGAACGCTTGAACTTCTAACAACTGTAAAAATTGAGTGAAAATTGACATTGACATTCCTACATACATAGGTATCTAAAATACAGGAGACTATAGGACATATATCTAAAGGAAAATATCTAAATAGGTATCCTGTGTATTTCTCATAAAGTAAAACAAGTACTTGTGTCCTCTTCTCTTCATAAAACAGAAAGATGTCGTGACATCATTTAGGTCCAGTCGATAAAACTAAATCATCCTCGTTATCACCTGTTGAGATATTCCTCCTCATGGAAATCAAATAAATTCCGTGATATCGGGAACGTAGTCTTTCATTTGGAAGAATCGATAGAGTCAAACTTGATGAAGGTTTGGAAAATTTTCAAGAACTCGACGAGATCCAGGAATGTCAAGAGATACGCTTGGAAGAAGAGCATTTCCTGGGAAGGTCCTGGAAGATTCCTTGGTTTCCTGTAATTTTCCTCAAAGATATTGGCTTCGAAGTTGTCGGCTTCGGTGCTGCTCGACGCAAAGTTCTCGTACACTCTGTTCGCAAGAAGTTTGCATCGCGACCACCTATAACCTCGTTCTATTTGCATGCTATTCCCTGTTTACAAATCAGTAATATATTGCTCGTTAGCATACTCTGCTTAATCGACGACATCCACATCCCGTTAATTTCCCTATTCGCGAACGCGGGTATTTCGCGTCGAGCGATTGCAATATTTACATCGGTGCTGCATGTCGTGCGAAATCATGTGCCATTTGAAATACCCACGTCTTGAATTAAGCAACTTCCATACGAGCGAGAGATAAGCGAGAGATCTGGTCGCGAAAATTTTATTTGAATTTTGTTTGATAAAACATTGAAAATATACAGGATCCAGCCACGTAACGTGTAAAAGCGAGCGTGACGCGATTCCTCGTGAAAAAATTTCGAAGAAATATAGAATAAAATCTTTTCACGTTTCACTTAATTTCCGAGAAGATAGAATTTGAAAATCCGCATGCACGAATACTATCACGGCTAAATTTAAGCAAACAAATTTGTAACGAAATACACAACTGTGCTCGTCTAATGATACTAAGTTTAGCCCTGTATGTACGACAGAATTACACTTTGTACTGTAAACAGTGATTTACCATCCAAACGTTGTTCCATAAAACGAAAATCCAAGCTTAAATAGAAGCTTAAATAAATCTATGAATCTGCATTACTGTAACAATGAATTGAACGAAAGAATGCTTTGAGTAAAAATATTCGAATCGCAGGTATTTAAAGCCAGTTTAAAATCGTGCTAAATTCTTAAGCAAATGATCATGGAATCACTTGGAAGAAATTGCAATCCACCGAGATCATACCATCATTACAGTGGTAATCTTCGGTAAACTCAGAACTCGCGCCACTCGGGTTGCTCGAAATTAACTAATGCCTACATACCGATAACATTCCAGGAGGACATGCAGACGAAATTCGAGCACCAGTTCACTTCGTTGGAGCTAGAGATCCGCAAGCGGGACGAGATAATATCTCAGCTTCAAGCAAGGATACTAGAGCTGGAAACGAGGGAGTCTCGAAACGTGGACGAGTCGCTGGGTGACAGCACAGAGCACGATGCTTCGTTAGAGGAGGACCTGGACGACGATCGCGAGGATCACCCGTTCATGAGAGACGGTTCGGTGGACACTGTGTTGACCACGCAGTCGCACTACAAGCACTCGTCGCCATCCACAGAGTCGAGCTCTCACAACAGAAGATCCTGGGAGGAGCATTCCGAGGAGGAAACGTTGGAACTGCAAGAGCTGCCCAGCTCGATCGTGCCGCAGAGTCTGTGGAAGGACGAAGTGGCGATTGACCTGGAGTCGAACAGCGAGAGCAGCAGGTCCGAGGACGAATCGGACGACAGAGCTGGGAGAAGCGACAGCGAGAACGACGGTGACGACGACGAGGAAACGGAAGTGCGACGCGAAGGTCACAATAACTGGGAAGTGGCGATGCTGGCTCAGGAACTCGAGGCCAGGCGGAGAAGCAGCGAGGACGCGAACTCGGGCTCCTAGCGCATTAACGAGATCTTAGACGTACTGTGTTACCTCACGAACACCTTGCACTGCGAGGGCTGGTGTAATAGCCCGGCTGCTGCCGCTGGCACCCTCTGCGAGAACGATTGCCCTTACTTACAGATAGACTTCGATAGCATGACCAGTTGTAGGGAGACCATGATGTAAAACACCTGATCCGTTAACCTAGGTATCGATCGTTCCTTTTCTATGATCCTGGTCTTCTGTCGCGTCGATATTCGTGGGCCAAAATATGCGACCTTCGTGAGAGGAGGGTACACGCGTGTCTAAAGCCTCGGACGTCATGAATACACGTGTAAATCGCGTTTTAGTCGCACTCCCTCTCTGTGCACACCTACCCATACATATTACACACGTACACACGCAGATACGCCGGTTTCGTGCTTGTACCAGAGGTTTATTCTTGGCAAGCCTTTCACCATCCATATATTGCTTTTCTCCTCTGTTTTTCCGTTCTTGTTCGCTCCCTGATCCGAAGATCGTGATCCTCTTATCTTTCGAGAGAGTTTCCCGTTTTATCTGGCAATATCGGACAGCGGTTTCAAGGTTACAACGACGCTGAAGTTTTACGCCGATCGTTTCGGTTGAATAAAGGGAATTGATATCGTTCCGGGAGAAGTAAAGCGAAATTCGGTCATACCCGTCTATGTCTCCTAAGCGAGCAACGATACGAGCTCGTAGCGATTTGAAATTGTTACGTAGACCTAATCTAATTTGAAACTGTTACCTAGCCTGATCTAACCTAGTCAATACGAAGACTTTATTAGAAGGAGACCAGACGAAATTTACGTATATTACGTTGCGATACGAACGAATATTCCGATGTTTATGGATACCAAGCTACCGAGTGTTTTCGCGAAATTGCATTCACGGTGTATTACATTAGAACGTTGATTAAATCAGGAGATCACTCGGTGAGAAGTGACTTTATTCGCAAGTTTCCCCGGAAATTTGCTATTAATTCGAAGCGAACGTTTCTCTTTAAACAAACCCGATGTCAAAGGGTTAAGCAGAAGCCGGAAATCGGCCCGACGATGCCGAAACTTCCTGAACGACCTCGCGGCCATGCGAACAATATTTATTCCGTGAAATATCGCGTGTATGGTACAAATTACGGTTAATTTACATTAGCTTCACCTAATTATCCTTTAACGAATCACGAATATGTTCGCTTCCCAATAATTTGTAAACGTGTAACCATCGGCAATCGACGTACTCGTACACATACTCGAGGAAATGGAAATTATCGGTTATCCGAAATCGCTAAACGGAGTGGAATTTCGTTTCTACGCAGAGATTTGCTCGTGGATTTGAAGGATATCTTGAAGCAGCATGAAAAGTGCAATTACACTCGTTATTTTTAAGGGTTCAGACGACAATGTTTTCACGTGACGAACAAGTTTGCCCCCTGTCCCACTTCCTCAAGCTATTGCAGTCTAATTTCCCCGGATTTCAACGGAGTTTCTCTTGTCCACGCGCAAATTATAGATTACAGTTTCGACTCGAACAATCGATTAACTTATTTTATCATCTGATAGGCACAATAAGTGGCTAAGTATAGGTATCCTCTTAACTGCAAGGAATCACTCGTAGAGATAATGGTCCATCGTGGTCGAAATTTTGAATCGCTGAAACTTCGATTAACGATTAACAATTAATTAACGATATTCTTTTCTCGGCGCATGAAAGATTGTTTCTTCGATTCGTCATTAATCATCCTTTTCCCCCCGGTTACGTTGTTAAATTACCGGTAATAATCGAAATCGTGAGACCCAAGATCGGGATGATTCCATTATAGATCCTTGTCGTCAACTACTCGCTTAAAATTGGAATTTCAGTTCGATTATCCAGTTGTATTGTAAATAATCACAGGTGCCTGAGAGGATATTATACTTGGGATATATAGAACTATAAAACGTTAAGCACCTATTTAAATGTGTAATCGTGTACACCGGACGGACGATAATCAATTATTAACGATATCGCGTCGGGTTTTCTCGTTCTACGCCGAAACTTCGCGAGAAGAAAAAGGAAGTTGATCGAAGATCGGATTCACGCGATTATCCTTTTCATTGTCTGCCTTAGCGACTACGAACTATAATACGAACTTGTTACCGATTCTCCGTGAAACACGATGAATGTTTTCTTTCTTTTGTTACAGAGCAATACGTACCTCTATATCGTTTCACGAGATAATTGTTAATTAAATAACGAATACTAAGATAAATTATAAAATCTGTTATTACGGAAGAGATATATCTATATACATGCATATGCATACGAATACACGTACACAAACAAGACACACATATATATGTACATATACATGTAACTATAAGTGGACGATTTTAATTTCACGATGTCGAGACGATAATTAAGAATTCCACAAATTTTCCCGTAGATTGAGGGTTTACGTGATTTTTCATTCCCAGAAAAGGAAAAAACAAAAAAAAAAAAGGAAAAAAAACACGAAAAAAAAAAAGGAGAAATTCGAATTTTTTGCCTCTCGTTTTCCCCCGCCCCAACCCCTCTCTCTATTTATGCGATCATTTTCATTGAGATCATTTAACGAGAAACGATGTAGCATGATCGAAAAAAGGGATAGGATGATATCGGGTAATTGCAGTGTGACGGATGAAGCGAAGAGTAAAAAGAAAATTTCGACGAAGTGATACACGCATATACACATATACACGTACACGCGGACACATAGACACGTATAATTTAATTAAAAACGACAAAAGTTAATGGGAATTATATGACGTATACTGACCAGACCAAGCTCAATATTTCTAGAGTCTTTACAAGATAAATAAATCTGTTAAGTGACAAATGACTATTAAAATTAAGTAAGGAGAGGAAATCTATTAAGAAAACTTGTACATACTAGCCTATAATTTATTTATCTATGAATGCGAGAAGAAAGCGCGAATGACGAGATACGTAGCGGAGAAAGAGAGAGGATTATATTTAGTGTGCGTGATAGAGAGAGAAAGCGCGAGAGAAAGAGAGGGAGAGTACAAGTAAGCGAAGGAAGGGAGAGAAAGAGAGGGAGCGAGTGCGAGTGAAAGGGAAGGAGAGAGAGGGAGAGAGAGAAAGAGGAAAACGAAGAATGCGTAAAAGAAAGGTTTTGGCGAAACTACGGTGAAAAGCATTTTAGATGCTGATATGTACCTACTACGCGAATGAAAAGAGTATACAATAAAGTAAACAAATGTTTTCAAATTTTTCGTGTCTTTTTGTACAGCCTAACATATAGAACTTCGAAAATTACACTCGTGATATAATATCTCTCTTGATAAAACTTTCCAATATTATTATATTAATCAATTAAATTTTAAATAAACTTTGAAGAGTAAATTAAAAAATAATTTCAAAGTAGATTAATATTGAATTTTCATATACGTATACTTTAATGTTGGTGTATCTTATACGTATCTTATTCGTATCGTACGATAATTATTTCGAGAATGTTCTATATGTTACGCGCGGTAGCCATATTTTAATGTTCGACATACGTACCTTCTTTTAACGTTCTAAATTTGCTGCTATATTCTGAACCATGTTGATGACCCACATGATTGAATAATACCATCAAAATTATTTTTATTAATACTACATAGTTTAAAGTATATAAAAATAATATTCACTTTAACTCGATAAATTCGAATTTTCTATTTTTAAACTATATAGATTGATATACGCGTTATGACGCACTTACTCTAATCGAAAATTGCAATTTGAATAAAATATAATTGAAAGATCGAAAACACTTTCCTTTTATGCAATTTACGTTAACCATTTCACATTAAACATTTTTGATATTGCAAATTTCCTATTTTTACACATATTTTAATGTATTCTCAAAATTTATAACAAAATTTAACGGAGCCATATCACCCAATTCCGTATTAGTTTCAACTGACATATTCGATGTTCAAATCGAGCGCACTCGAAGTTCTCGATATATATCGAACGCGACGTACACTGTTCGATTCCGAAGTAGCTACATAACCTTGAATCATAATAATAACAAAAGCGTCGCGACTGAGTTTTGTTATCAAATATTGTGTGTGGTCCAACTCCGTTCCAGAAAACGCGCCGTTTTGTTGTGATGTGGAAAACGTGATTTTATCTGCAATTTTCTAAGGATGGGCGACATAAGGGCTGGCCTCGAGGAATTAAAACTCGACGGAGCCCTATTCGCCGATGTTAAATACTACGTCAGCGGCGAAGGTGATCCCAAGGTATGTCATTTCACCGTTTCCCGCGTTTTTCCTTTACCCTTGACATAATGTCATTGATTTCATGATATTGATGTTATTATATTCTAACGGTTAAAAATTGTGATCTACCCGTGATTACTTTAAATTAATTGCGATTGATACGAAAGAGGTTATAAAATGGAGTCAAATTTAACAGTGTGGACTCCTTGAATGTGAAGATGACAAGAGACTTTTTAAAAACTTGAATTTTACAACATTTTTTAACATATAATATCCCTTTATATTAAATTAATTTGAACATAGCAGTATTTTCTTCCATAATTATACAGTATATATAGAACTTTTTATTGACAATTTTAAGCTTAGTGATTAAAATTAATTAGTGATTTTAAGAAAATGGAGAAACAACTGATTTAATAATTAAGTATTTTTATGTACTTTAGGGTATATTTTAATTTTTTAATAAGCATTGCAGTAGTAGTTATACGAATGCATGATTTTAATATTAAAGTAAAAGCACATTTTAGAAACAAATCTTTTTTTAAATTGTTTGCAGATTTTAAATTTACTTCAAGAAGGAGGTGCAGAAAGATCAAATTATTTTAGTGATTTTGTTACACATTTAATAGCAGGCTATGATGCGCTGGAAAATGATATATCTGCTGCAAAGGATATCTATGAGATACCAGCAGTTACACAGAACTGGATTTTATATTCTGTCAAATGCAATAAACTCCTGCCGTATCCTAATCTAGAAATTTATAATCTATTGGAAATATTGCAAAATTGAATTTACTTAACATTAAATTTCCTTTCTTTTTTTTACAAACAGAATTATATCACTATAATCAATCACATTTCATTGATATAAAACTAATTAATTTCCTTAGCAATAACATTAATATAGGCCCCACTATTTTTCTCCTGAAGATACACAGTTATTTTCGAATGTACGTGCATGTGTATCTCAGGTAAGCCGTGCAGACAGTAAAAGTCTGTGGGCCATGATCACGCTCCAAGGTGGTAAATGTCAATTACGTTTAGATCGATATTGTACCCATTTAATTACTGGAAAGGCTGCCGGATTAAAATATGAAACTGCAATGAGACATCCTATTCAGATTGTAACTCCAGATTGGGTAACAGAATGTTCTAAAAAAGGAACTATTATAAGTGAAGTAGAATACCATCCACGACTTTTAATATATCCAAATAGTTCTACGGCCATGATTACTGGTTTTATGGATGAAGATACTGAAAACAGTACCATGCAAGAAGAACAAGATAGAACTAAAGCTGTGTTGGAACAACTTAAACAACGGATGCCTTGGAACCAACCAAGTCCTCCAGTATCTTCTAATACTCAGCATAGCATAAATACAGCTAATGCAACTGTAACCACAATCCCTTATACAACAAATGGGCAAAATAATATTAATCCACAGCAACAACATCTTCCACGATCAATTCCTACCACGAGTTTATCTAATGCTTCCACAATTGTGTCTTCTGTTTCCGAGCAAAATGTTACACAAACCAATTGGTTACCACAAGCTTCGCAACAAAATAATGTAGCTCAAATGAAATCTGTACCACAAATACAGCAACCAGAATTATCTCCGCAACAGCAGCAACAACAGCAACAAATGAATATGCAACATACATTATTACAACAACAACAATTAAATCAACAGCAGCAATTGTCTCAACAACTTACACAACATCAGCAAATGCAACAACAGCAATATACGCAGCAGCAGCTTTTAAATCAACAACAATCTCCACAGTTAACATCTCAACAACAATTAATAGGAACGCAGCAGCAACCACTTGCACAACAGCAATTGCTGCCACAACTGCCCCAACAACAAATAAATTCACAACTACCTCAGCATCAGATATCATCACCTCAGCAATTATTAACCCAACAACAAAAACAGCTAACCCAACATCAAATTCTTTCGCAACAACAAATGAGCCAACAGCAGCAGCATTTATCGCAACAGCAACAAATTACTTCTCAACAACAAATGGTCCAACAACAACAAGTACAATTAACATCTCAACAGCAACAACAAATAGTTTTGCAACAACAGCAACAAATTCCCACTCAGCAACCACAAATAGGAACACCACAGCATCAGTTGAACCAGCAACAAGCCCCTCCACAACAACTTACATCTGAACAACGACAACTTATACTATTGCAACAGCAGCAGCAGCAGCAACAGCAGCAACAAAAAATTCAACAAATTTCTCAACAGTTGCAACAGTCTGCTCCTCAAAGCTCACAGCAGTTCGTCATAAGAGACGGTCAATTACAACAACAACCTCAAAATCAACAGATAATGGGTCCCAATCAGCAAGGTTTTATTGTACAAAGAGATTCTCAATGGCAACAGCAACAATATCATTTACAACTGCAAAGGCAGCAACAACAACAAATTGGTCCTCAAAGACCAAGTGGACAATGGGCTCAGCAACCACCACAACCATCAAGGCAATTAATTCAACTGGATGCTCAAACACATCAACAATTGCAGCAAATGGATCCACAGCAAAGGGCTCAGTTTATTCAAAAAATCCAGAAACAAAGAAATTTATTACTGCAAAGGCAAATGCAGAATCGACAAGCTCAACAGGGTGCACATATTGCTGTCATAAGGAGCCCTGGAAAGCCAGTTCAGCCTGGCGGTTTATGGATCCAGCAGCCGCGTCCTCAAATGATAGGACCGCAGCTTGCGCAAACGCCTGGACAGAAACCGGTTCACACCGGGGTTCAACCACCAGCATTAACACCAATTAATTCTTCCAATCAGGTGATCGTACAAGCCGGTCAAAATGTACAAGGTCCACAAACCGGTCAACCTGGTCAAACGTTCCCACAGGGTCAACCTTTGACTCCTCAACACATAGCGCAATTACATATGCAAAAGCAACAACAAATGGCAAGGTTGCAGCAACTGCAACATCTACAGCAGCAGCAGCAGCAACAGCAACAACAACAACAGCAGCAGCAACAGCAACAACAGCAGCAACAGCAACCAGGTACACAACAGGAGCCTCCCTTGACCTCGTTGCCGAATAATGCTCAGATACCACCGGACCAACAGCTGGTTGTTAATGCAAAGACGAAAACCGCTCTGGCGAACATGCTAACGAATAGATTACAAGGTAGTGCTGCCGAAGGTAGTGCAGCTGGTCAATTGAGATTAATGACTGCGCAACACAGACCACCGCCACCGCCGTCTCAGGACCCACAACTCCTAGCGGCGTACCAGCGGAGAACCGTTGGGAATATCACAAACGGAGCGCCGCCCGGCGCACCGATAAAGATGCAATACGCTCCGGTGATGCCTCAAGCGAAAGCTCAGTTCTATGGTCACAATCCAAATCTGAAACGTACGGTCTTTCAGTTTCTCAAAAGCTCTTGATTAAGGCTGTATGATTTCTTTACCTGTTTCTGCTTCATATTCTACTTGGAAGGTTTCCGAAGTAGACGTTTGTCAACGCTTTAGTGGGATGTATCTCTGTGAAGATGAAAACGAAGTTCATCAAGAATTTCTCTATTCTTTTAACGTACATAGCTAATGTATATAATTACCTGGTGTCCCGGTGTACTTGGCTAGCTGTTTCTTTCCTATACTATCAATGTTTATAAACGAACTTCCAGTCTTTGGAAATTTATTCCTAAATAGTATGTATATAAAGTATATATAAACATTTTCTTACGCAGTCTCACTTTGAACAACTTGAAACTTGAAACATTTAGAACCATATGACGAAACCTTTCAAGCACAAACAATCTTATATCTCCTTTTCTTTTTTGCCGTTCATTTATTATGTCCACCTACAACGACAGGAAATCAGTCAAAAATAAAAGGACATAACAAATGAGCAATCTTTCTCTCTGTCTTTCTCTGTCTCTCACATCATTAATTCTTCTCCTCCCTGGTAACTTCACCTTTCTTCTCCAAATAACGAACTGTTATTTATTTCCAGTGCCACCAGATCTATTTTTGCTAGGTTGTATCTTTGTTATCGTCGAGTACGACGTGCAACGTCCAAACGATGTTTCCATATGGAAACAAGTGATCGAGAGACACGGTGGAGAGGTGGAACCGCAATATTGCACCCGTGCCACCCACGTACTTGCGATCACGCAGAAACATCCAACGGTGGTGCAAGCGCTACGCGAAGGGAAACGTTGCGTCAGTGCACATTGGCTATCGGATGTAGTCAGTAAACAGCAGGTAGTACCACCTTGGCACGCACTGCATTTTCCAACGTCATTCAGCTTGACAGAGCTTCCGTGCGCAAAACAGATCGTATCATTGTCTGGATTTGAAGGAGAGGAACGCGCGAAAGTGAAGTATATGCTGGAAGCGTTGGGAGCTAAAGTTACCAATTACTTCACCAGGCACAACACTCTCCTCGTTTGCAGAAGGTAGAGATGTTTTGTTACTTAAAGCACTTGCCCCTGCTTTTTGGATTTCGATTATTGACTTAATTATGCCGATGGGTATCGTAAAATGTTGGTGGACACGTTTAGAGGTGAATTTGACAGGCAAGAATGATGGAAGATTTTGTGTTCATGTTTGTCTTATCTGACTTTGTTTCTGACATATTACAGGGGTTGTTATGAAAATCTTTCTGTACATAATTATTATCTTTTTCTTTTCTTCTCTTTTTTTCTTTTTTAAGATATAGAGAAGAATGGAATGTTAAATTCCACTGGAGTGTTAGGTTTTGTTTCATTTGTTTCTCTATTTGTTACGTGTGAGACCTTTACATAAAACGTTTGGCATCAAATTTACCTGAAATAAAATTTAACGAAAATGTTTATAAGTAATCACCAAGATTTTACACGTGATACAGTATGCAGAGTGCAATTAATAACATTTGTTAAAAAAATTACAGAGACCCAAAATATCTATCATTTGGAAAGAACGTCAAATAAGATAAACATGTATGTAAACTTCTTCTATTTATCTTACGTACTGAATTCACCCTTTGCTCCAAAATAGAGCACAGAGTAAATGAAGTATAACCACGTTTTATGGTACCACGCGTGACGATCGATCATTCATAATTATCTACATCCTTTCATTCGATGAAAACCATTTCAGACCGGACGGTCAAAAGTATAAGAAGGCTCGAGAATGGCAAACAGGAGTGGTAAATGCTCAATGGTTAACGGATTTACTATGCGGGCAAATGAACGCGCTCCATCAAACCGAAAATCCAAAATATCAACAATACAGCCTGAGCAATCCCTTTAGATTGGATTATTCGCTAGTGCCTCATCTAATGGGTATCGTAAACTTGGTTAATTGTATTTTTTCCCGATGAGAAGATTGTCTCGTTTTCTCATCATTCTATTCGATCAAGATCTCTCGACTGGTATTAAAATAGTGTTTCTTTCAGCTGCATGGAAAATGCCAATAAACATAACTCAGGAATCATACGATAAAGTAAAGCAAGTTGGTCAGGGTCCAAATTCGATAAGAAAGTATAAGAAGCCGCGATTAGACGGCCCATTATTGAATAAAGACCCACATTTGTTGGGCTTGGACGAACCAATAGTCGTTAGTAATCCTGATCCTCCGCCTCCGGATAAACAGCCGAGAATATTATTCTCCGGTATTAATCCTAGGAAGCATGCAAAGGTAATGCATACGCTGAAATTTACTGATACAATAAAATCTCCGTACACGTGAATCTCAATTTATTAAATTGGCAATGTCGCTTCTGTAATTTGTATAATTTAAATGTTATAAATTAAAATAATTAAGCTCCTATAATTGATTCGTACGTTATTTGAGATTAAACATAGTTGTTTTTTAATATCATGTGCGTTAAAACAAAAGCATTTACTATTATACGACTTGCAAATATGGGTATTTTATTGTACAGTGTTCTATACAACAATGTAAGATGAAGTTGCTATTCGATTTGCCTACTAATTTGAACCATTTGCTTAACAGAGAATTCGGGAATTAGGTGGTGCACTGGCAGCCAGTTGGCGAGACGCAACTCATCTCGTGATGTCAGCACCGATAAGAACTGTAAAATTGTTATGTTGCTTATCACGTTGTAAATATATTGTCACGTTACAGTGGTTACTCGATTGTTCTGTGAGGAACACGTTTTTAGATGAAAATGGATACATACTTGGGGATCCAGAATTTGAGAAGAATTTTAATTGTAATATTGAAAAGGCTCTGGCAAGCCCTAATCGGGGGACAGTACTTAAGGTAATTTCTTTATTGATTTAACTGCTAGTTTGTGAGCGGCGTATATTGATGAAGAGCTCGTAAGATTATAAGACAGCTCGTGATGTAACATTTATGATAAATTATATCGTCACTCTTTGTTTCAAAACTTTGTTTGTCGAATAGGGTAAAATATTTTATGTTACACCAAGTGTGATACCATCGCCACCAGCGATCGCAGAAATAATCGAAAGCGCGGGTGGAACGATGGAAAAAACACGGAGATCTCTGGCACAGATCCAAGAAATGAATAGTAATAAATTAAATTATATCATCGTCACTCATGAAAACGATCTTCATCTTCTCTCAGACGTTTTACGTGCAAATATCAGTAAGTGGTGTCTGAAAATTTATTCTGCTTAATTTTCTAAGATAATATTGAAGGGTATACATATATGTAAAAAGTTTCATATCTCCTCACGTTTTCTTTTTTTTCTTTCTTTGAATATTTATAGGTGTGTTCAGTGCAGAAATCGTATTAGGAGCAGTTGCACGACAATACTTCCAAACTGAACAAATCTAAATATAGTGCAGTTTTCAAAACACTGCATTTTAATCCCTGATGTGGGCTTACTAAATTCTTAGTAAGCTATTTTGGAGATGAAAATTTTTGCTTACCTTCTTCAATGGGACAATAAAGAACATAATTTTATGATACAGGAGGAACTATTTTCACTGAAAACATTCCAAAACCTCTCCTTTCATGCTTCGTTTTCTGAAAAACGTATTTTATATAGTATCTTGATATAGATCATTTGATAGACTTGTTTTTTTTTCCTTTCTCTTTTTCGACATGAAAGCATATTGTTCATTCATGATTAAGAAGTATTGTTTTAATTAGCATTTTGTAGTCATTTTTTTCCACGATGTCTGTCTCTCTTTACGCGCGTATATTTCTCATCTTTTTGTCGTATATACCATATACACATATCATTCTAGTTTGTATCATTGTACACTTATTTTCTTCTATTCTATGTTTCACTTACCATTGTCTTTATACAATAAGAAATGATTTATGTGTAAGAGTGTATAATTGAAAATAAATAGAAATATGCATCATTGTGTTCTGATTGTGTTACTAATCGCGTTATGTTATTCTCAGTTTTATTAAAATCATTTAGAAAGCATCTTTATGTGCATTGAATTGTATAAATATAGTTTGTTCATACTCGACAAAATCACTTATTGTACAACAAATCGAGCTGATATTGTAAGAAAAGTACAAACATTTATAATAATCGAATAGTTTAGGATCGATTGTAGAATAAGTAAGAAAGAATTCTCCACAAATTTATAAGTCTATGTACAATAATGTATAAAGCTATATAAGAATAATTATGAAAGAGGGGCAAAGGATATATTTTATGCACAGGGAAATGATTCAGATGTATGTAAACATGACCAATTTACGTGCTAAACTTATTTTACAAAATGTAAGAGCGAAAACTATGTCAATAATAAATATTATATACGATCAAATATAAAATAATTAAATTACATTATATTATCTATTCTTACAGGTAAATCGTATTTTTGTACACTTCTGATCATCGACATCGAAGAATATTGCACAAGTAATAAATCACGGTACAAATATAAACAGTCCAAAAGTGTTGTATGTATTGCTTAAAAATTCCATTTTTTACAATGACATTGGACCATTTCAATTATCCATTGGTACGTAATGCAACGAATAAATCAACATTGCTTTATAACACGACCTTAAGAAATCAAAATAAGAGTAAAGCCACTGTAACATCTGCAATTAAACGATTCGCTGATTGATTTGGTATCGTTCAAAATATTAAAAGCAAACTGTTCAACGTCTGATATCGTAAGACATCTGTGTTTGTATCCAGTTCATGTATTTCGCGACGTCTACGTAAACGACGTATTGCGTTAAATCGCAAGGCATAATCTCATTGTAGGTCCCTAGGGACATCGAAACGACCCCTCGAAGGTAATAACGATTTGTAATGATGTCGTGTATCACGAAACCGCTACCGCTGTCGCCATTACAAGGTCCAGTTCCATCTCTGAAGCCGGCGCAAAACGTTCGGTTCGAGGTGACTGTTATAAAGTTGTCGTTACTCCTGAGGCAATCCTCCTGTAATTTATTCGTTCAAGCATTTCGAATTTATACGCAAACATCGATCATTGTAGATGTGGGAAAATCGCGATAATCTCTATCTAGAGTTAGAAAATTTGAATGGAAAATGATGAAGTTTAAGCTGAGTATGTATAAGAATGGTTTAAATGTTGTATCCAGAAATGAATGCAAATAGAATGATACTTTGAACTTCTGTACAAGTTACAAATCTGGCTACAGGAAACAAGATTCTTAAAAATATTGTTCAGTATATATTTCTATGTCCGATCTGTATTACTCTAAATATTTGAATCATTTATAACGTGAAAAGTTTAATGATATCAAATAAGTTTGACTTTTCCATGTTTAAACTGCTCAGAAAATCAAAGTAATAAAAACTAAGTGATACAAAAAGAAGAAAATATTAGTATTCATACTGTCGCATAGATATGAATGAATAAGACATAATTCCTTCACTTCCTAAAATCATTCCTACAATCAACCAGAAAGCCTATTATAAACATTAAACTTTGCGAACATATTTGCTACATTTGAACTTTTCCTATAAAATTTAGAGATCCACGTTACCTATGTAATTCCACATCTAGCATACAAAATAAACGTTTTACATCCTATTCCACGATATAAATTATTACACCATCGTGATAAGTTTCGTTAATCATATCCATAATTAATCACAAGCAGTAAACAAAATTACAAAAACTGGTTTTACCTGAGATATGATAGGTGACTTCGATAGTCGAGGCTCCTGAACGTAACGATTTCCCAGCTCATCCTGACCCCAACCTACTACACTGCCAATCATACCAACAACGTTCTCCAGTTCCGAAGATCCTGACCAGAGACAAATTGGTCTTATCACTGCACTGTATTCTACCCTCTGTTTCAGAATGAACACGGCTAGATCCGAATCAGCGTTGTCATCCATGTTATAATTGGGGTGAACTTTGTACTCTGCTACTTCTCGATTCACCGAATCTTTCTCATTCCAGTCTCGAAGTCGATAGCGTCCCAAAGCTACCATAAATGACGAGGGATGTAAATCCGCTTTGTCGAATTTGGTACAGTGCGCAGCTGAAAGAAAATAGAGATAGTTTCGAAGGTAAACAAATTTTCGATCTTGGAGTATTAATTCTATAAATTATGAATTTTACTTAGCAAACTATAGTTTTCCTTTTTGGTTATACATTAACCGAGAAGTGCCTACAGGCTAAATCTATCAAGTAATAATTAATTGACTCATAATACGCAAGGTATACTTCCCGATTTAGCTTTGGTTATACATGGAAGATGGTAAAACGTAGCTTAGTCATGATAGAATGAATAAAATTTTGTGATGTTTTTTTACAGTTCTTCTTCCATTCACTGCTAACACAAACACTTGTATCGAGTCAATTAAATATCGATTAGCTCAGTTAAATATATTATATTATAAATAAAAAATAGAGCGCGTTTATAGCTTCTATTTGCTATTTGTATTCAATTCTTATCTGAAAGCTTAAGAAAGAAAAATGGAGCCTTCTAAGTCTACAGAAATTCACATACCTGTTATAACATGCCTGTTCGACACCAACGATCCCCCGCAATAGAATCCAAAATTGCGTTTAGAAACAAAAATTGCAGCCACCCAGGGCCACTGACCAGGTCTTGTTTTTACACCTCCAGCAATTAGAGGGTTGACCTTGTTCAAGTTACTCGGTCGACCGCAGTCCAGATTATTTTCCTGTTTATTTACCGGCGTGGTTGTAGCAACTGTTGAAATGGGTTGACGCGGTACTGTTTCTATATTCGTGGTTTCTCTATTTACAAGTGGGTACGTTCCAGGTGGGTACAGCGTGTGATTTAGAGTGATGATGGTAACAATTGGTCCATTTCCTGGAATTAAATAAATAATCAATTCGTCATTTATCACAAGTCAATTTAGCTAACTGCAAGTGAACACTAAATCAAATTACTAATTTGTGTGTCACATATATTATCATATTTTATATTACATGTAGAAGATTATATTTTGGTTTTAAGCATGAAGATGTATGTTAATTCTCATGGAATAATTATCATTTTTGCTAAATTAATATATACTGCTATTTAAAAGGTGCATATGTAAGAATTTGAAAATTATTAAAGAGAACGAACAATGTAAACATCATCTCTTGACTCTGAGAAAAGCATATATACCACGAGGAGCCGAACAGAGGAGTTGATTGTTGAGCCACAAACCGGTTAAGGAGGGAATTGGTTCACGAAGAGGAAAATAGATTTTGTACCTCAGGGGCTTGCCCTGCATAATTGCTTGAACCGTCCTTCCCGCCGGCTGATTTAATTCTAATCGTCCAACATATTTCTGAAACAAAAACAGATTATATCTATCAATTCGATGTAATCCTTTAACAACCTGTATTTACTTTCATTGATACTTAAAATGAAGTACAGAATTAAAATTCAAAACTTTCATTCAAGTTTTTCTTCCATTTTGCAATATTAATTAATATTAATAATTTATATTTTTCATTTTATTTAAAATTAAAGATATTGATTATACAATACACCATTAACGCGACACTAAACTTAGTCAACAAAATTATTCAACAATTATTCAAGTCAATTATACAACACTATCTCTTAGAACTGAGACTGTAATTTTGATGTCAATACATCACAGAATGTTTCGAACAGCGAATTCATCAAAGAGTTATCTTATCTAATTTTACAATTATACATAATACGATTTCGCATACGTAATACATAGTAGTCACGTAGTTGACAAGATAAGAACAAGGTAAATCAATAACTATCGAAACAACTCAATTATAGTTATCACATGGATAATTTACTAGAACCGAAAATAATTTTTACTTCAAAGATTAAAATTTTCTATTAAAAGATCTCTTTACCGTGGGCAATGCAGCGGCTATGCTCATTTTGACACTCAATTGCAGGGCTACTCCTTTAGGCGGTGATCGTATCTGGATAAGTCCAACCGTTTCATTATTAGTGTCATTCTGAATATACTGGAAGTAATCGGAACACGGCGACTGGCAGGCTACTTCTGCAATTAGTTGAAGAAAGTGCACCAATAGAACAGCCTTGACAATGACACTGACCATTCTAGAACACTGACATAACACGAACATTTTACAACCAATTGATTATTATTTCAAATATAAAACTTTCAATTGAAATTAGATGTTTCATTTAAAACTATATAAAAGTATACTATTCAATAACAATTTTTAAAATTCATTGTACCGATTGTCACCGATTTAGTGAAACAAAATTTCTTCATTCTCTTTTCTACTACAGAACACCGAACAGAGGAAAATGGACGACATAACTGGAAAAGAAAGTAAAGAGAATCTGCTGATCCTCAGAAAACATTGTGCGTAACATGTGTGCTCAAAGAAAAGCAGAAGCTTTACAATAAAAATTCGATAATGTTTATTCCAGCAAGCGATAACCTCTGTGAAAGACTCAATGTCGCAACTTCACGTATGATTTTCATGATGTAAGAAAAATTTAGCACGATTTTGCCACTCGAGTTCTTCAGAACTGAAGTTCGATGCACCAATCATACGAAGTGGTTTTCAACTGTGGTAACTCTATCCCGTTTAACTAGTTCAATTCCTCGTTTTAACCCTCGAGTACTTCACCATAATCACGGCTACTCACATATTCCTCAAGATTTATTCGAACAAGCACCGTAGGATAGCAACTTCGTCATCATCGAATTTCAGTTCCGCGTGAAATCCTCGAAACGCAGATCAATCACTGTCAGTCATCGAATCACATCGAGTGCAAACACGTGAAACGCTATTGCATCCTTCTAGTACACTAAACTCTCGGTTCCATCGGTTTCACGATTCACAGGATTATCCAAATATAGTTGAAAATGTACCTCGCACGTTCGACAATCTTGTATGATTTATCAACTGATTATTCCCAAAGAAAATGCGCGCGTAGATTGCTATTTACGTCTCATCTCGCGAAGGATCATCTTTGTCGACGAAGGTCCATTGAGCTACTCTGCACAGAGGCGAGCCTCTCGACTTTATATCGACCGTTCTTGTCGAGATGAAATTAGTCAGGGTCGACCTGAAGCAGGTTGTCAGTCACCTCTGTGGGTACAGTCTCAAAGAACTCGCAAAAAAGCTACCGGAGAATCTCAGTGTCCGCCTCTCAACGGTTCCATGCCTCCACGCCAATGGTAGTGGGACATCCCCGGTGCTACTACCGCTTGGCCGCTTCATTTGTATGGAGAAACCACTATTCTGCAAAGCGATGACGGAACGCAAAAGAAGGAACGCTTTGACGATGTTACCCTCTCCTATAGACTCGATTCTAATGAGTCATATTGGGCACGGAAGTTGCACCAAAACGGCGTAATTGTTACGATACTCTAACATCCGGAAGATTGGCCATGTCACAAGAGTAAACGGGGAATACTTGTGGATATTCATTTTATCATTCCCATCTTTTACTTTCCTTATGACATTTTGATATGTCATCGAATAACATAAGTATGTGTAACATTCTTCTTTTTCCTTTCTTACTTTTATACACAGAACGTGTTAATAAAGATTAATTAAATGATTTGTTGATAAATTTAACGAGATGAGAATTCCTCGAATGCTTACTTGTAAAGATAGAATATAATAATAATAATAATAAAATAGTTACTAGGTAGGACTTAAAATTTGGACTTGCTTCGAGTGTCTGTTCAGAAGTAATTTTTGCAAGTAACGCGAGTTAATTGTGCTTCTTGTATACTGCACCGCTTCCCACGATGATTCCTCGTTACTACGTACTTTCCTGGTTAGGTTGTCCCATAAATATCCAATTTATTTTCACGGGGTTACCAGCTGAGTGCGGGGGTCATAAAACATTTTAACTACCGGATTTCTCCAGATTTATTACCACACCCTAATTAACTTGCTTTTAATAACATATTACGTCCTATAATCCGTTTGCATTTTCTTCCATTCAAGATTCCATACTTTTTCCTGGGTGCAATTAAACCTTGGGACAATAGTGCATACGTGCATAAATGAAAATAGTAAAAAGAAATTTAAAGTTGATACCTAATATTCATAAAATATTTCAAATGACATAGAAATAATACCTGCGGTTTCTTACGTTCAATGTTAATTCCTGTAAATCTATTTGCGGTCAATTAACTTCTGCTATACCACGTCATTCGACTATTGAATATTCCACATATGTTTGTTTCTTATCTATGTGGTTTTGCTAATAGTTTCGTTGTTAGTGTCGGTGGGTTTTTCCAATAACTGTAGCAACTTTGCTTAGTTTAATGTTCTGTGAATGTACTTTTACCTTCGTTTATTTGGATATGTTTTCTTACGTTCGTGAATGTATTCGGGAGTATATACCTCCAATTTCGGATGCTGTGTTTGTATTCGAAAATTTGTTTGCTCTTTGTTTACTTTACTCTCCGCAGCTACATTACGTCCATTTGTGACCACCTGCTTTGTTGCTTGATTTCTTACTACATATATCCATTGTGTTTTTGCTCAGAAGGAAGGAGATTATTAGATCGATGAACCGGAATTTAAAGTCGGATTTTATTTCATAAGAGTTAATTCCTCCTGTCGATCGTATCCTTTTTTTTTTAGAAATGTCTCTTCCACCTCGAGAAATTTATTACTTATAACAGAGAGAAAATGACATTCGGATGTTGTCATTCGGACTTAGTTGCAAGGTGAAATATACGATGCGTAATTAGGAGTATCTTATTTGAATCGTCCTTGTAAATACGACATAACCGTTATAGAGTGTCAATTTAAAATTTATAATAGAAATTCGAGACTCGATATAATTATATTTTAATGTGTGTACCTTAATAATAGAAACACGTTGATCGAAAACGTGTAATTAATGATTGCATAAAAATCCTGTATCTCAATGACATGAGCCACGACTCTCTGATTCTCATTAATAAACATTATTACAGCATCACGGAGAATTACACGAGAAATTATATATTAACGTACAATTGTGCGTAATACAACTATGATAAGATACAAACCTAACTGCTGATATAACTGTTAATTACGAATAATAAAATCATTTCCATAAACTAACAAATGATGATCATATTTGCTCTGTATTATATGATTTACGGAATAAACTGCGAATTACTACAGTAAGCCACAAATTTCTGTACCAAATTTTTTTATCAACTTAATGATAATTATAGATATTATTTATAAATAATAATATTCGTGATAATTGATAATTAATAAAATAATCTGCACGATTCGCATGATTTGCTTCGCTGAAAAGAAAAGAGAAGGATAATAATAGCTTTCAAGGAAAATTTGAAAAGTTGAAAGTGCATACGTGCAAGAAATAACAAAATACTGGTAAAACACGTTTCTTCGTTTTCCCCGAAACGTTGTCAAAATCAATCGCAATAGGTCAAGGAACTTTAAACGTAATCCATCTTCACCAATGTCAAAATTTTGGTTTCCCAGTAGAATATCATTACGTCATGAGAATTCCGGATACGTTTATTATCAGTAGTTGATCGGGAAATCCTACAATTATATGGAAACCTGGATAAATCAGTACATAAAATAAGGAAAACGTTAACATCGAGTTAAGCATCTGACTGACTTTCGTTCTCATAAAGTATATTATACTGAATTCCACGAAAATATATAGATTCACCGGTACATTCATCAAATTGCAAGAAAATTTCCCATATGATTTTTTTACTTCAAAGCAGGATTATTACATTGTGTTACAGGATTATCACATTTAGATTATTAAAGTCTTAAGATTGGACGTCCGGCTTTAATTATTTGTTTTCTTTCTTCTTTCTTTGTTTTAACAGAACTGGTGTTACTACATCAGCTAGAGTCATTACATCAATGTTATATAAAAATTGGAGATTCGCTTCTAAATTATTATGTTCGATGATTGAACAAAAATAAAAAAACAAATATATACATTCTGATCGGACTTAAATATAGAAATAATATATTGGTTTCAAAATAAATCAAGACAAGACCAGAACCAATTAACTAAATAACCTAAATAACTTCCTAAATATATAATCACTTTATAATTTCCGATAATATAAAGACTGAGAAAATATAATAATATCTTATAATACACACAATTTGTATTTTATAATACAAATTTTTTTTCAAATTTGACTTCGATATAATGGCTTCTTATTACAAAAATATGGCGCTGGTATCAATGCATTCAGGTGAAAATATCATTTCTATCAGAACATGAAATGCCAAGAATTCTTTGTCCGCGCGAAATAAAAAACTAGGCAAGATTTCCTTCTAACATTTTAACATGCGTTCCTAGCATTATACTCAGTTTCTTTAACATCCGACTCTGGAAATGCACGCGATGTATCGTAGAAATCTTTTCGCTGCACTTATAACAAATTTTTTTTTTAATATTGAAAATGTAACCTCCAAAGAATCTGCATAAATGTCTTCACGTATGAGAATGTTAATTGTAAGATATGCTTAGCAAACTGTCGAAAAAATACATTACACAAGCATGAATTTTTCATCTAACATACAACCCATAATTCATATATATATATACGAACACAAATGAAAGATAAAATTTCCTTTCCAATATTAGAACCAAGTATATTAACAAATAAATAAATTCAGAACTATAACCTTCCTGTTCTTTTTAATTATATGTCTCTTATTTTTTCCAAATAAGGAAGAAGTAACTCATTCCACGGATACTTACCCCGCCATATTTACCATTAATTCTTCTAAAGACATCCAAATAACGTTTGTACGAAACAGAACACGTTATTTCACGCAAAATGGACATCTTTTGGCAGAAATCTACGAAATTAAATACAAATTGAATAATATGGCCGCATTCGAGAAATATTCTTTGGGTGCACGAATATGCGTTTTTAGGACTCACCTGTGGTCTTGTACCATATTTGTGAAGATATTTTAACGTCTGCCTGCAGCCGTTCAACCGGCTCCTGGAACACTTGATGAATTTCCGTTTTCCTTTCTTGAGACCTGTTTCCCCTGCTTCTGGGAATAACATCGTCAAACTTTTCAAACGGACATTTGCGTAGTATTATTCATTATTAATATGAAGTTTTTAGCGGGACTTCGATCTATTTTCACGATGAGATATTGACGAATCAAAATAACACAAATGATACGATGTATCGATTCTCCAATGGCAAATTCGTGTTTAAATCTCTAATCGAAAACGAACCGCTTACAATTGGTAGGTCATGCGTGTTGTGTAACACGATTAAGAAATGTACTAATATCAATATTGATATAAATAATGAATTATGTAAATCATATCACTTCTATGGTTAATATTGATTTTATTATATAATAAGTAAATAAATTAAATAATATTTAATTATTATTTAAATAATAATTTCATTTTAATTTGTCCTTCACTTTTTAATGTATTTTTATTTTGTTCTATAGGATCTTATTTTGAATTGGTGCACTACTACTACTACTTATTACGCATGCGTAGTGAAGACATTTGTCAGTCCGCAAAACTTCGTATAAAAACATCTAAACATAACCTTCAACGTTTGCAAGTTGTTGACGTACCAGTGTCCTTTTTCAGTGCTTCTAAGTGCGTATTGTTATTCTACTATTTGCCACGGATTTTATTTTAGATAAAAATGGAGGAGATGGATATGGGAAGTGAAGAGAATAACGATAAGACGCTACACGAAAATTCGATGAACAATAAAGAGGACAAATCAGAATTGGTTGAAAGTGAAGTCGAAGAAAATATGGATGATGATCTTGATGATGATCAGGATGAAGAAGATGACGAAGAAGATGACGACGGAGATGCAGATGAGGCTGAAGTTAGAGTATTAGAAACATCTCTCGCGGAAAATCCGTACGATTATGCAAGCCATGTAGCCCTTATCAACAAATTACAAAAAATGGGCGAATTAGAACGATTACGTATTGCTAGAGAAAATATGAACACTAAATATCCTTTAAGTCCTGAACTTTGGCTATCTTGGATGCGTGATGAAATTAAATTAGCAACCACACCAGAGCAGAAAGCTGAAGTAATAAAACTATGTGATCGCGCAGTTAAAGATTATCTATGTAAGTTTAACTTTCAGAACCATAAATATATCATCTGTCTTTTATTAATTGGTTTGATGTTTACAATGTAATTAAACTATATATTATAGCTGTTGAAGTATGGCTAGAATATTTGCAATTTAGCATTGGCAATATGGGTACTGAAAAAGATGCAGCAAAGAATGTCAGACAACTGTTTGAACAAGCATTAACAGCTGTTGGATTACATACTATTAAGGGTGCAATAATATGGGAAGCATTTCGAGAGTTTGAAGCTGTATTATATGCACTGGTAAATATGTCTTATGTTTATCATAGAATGATAAAGAATTAAAATCTTTGTATAATCTGTTTCATTATACAAATTTTATTTATTTAGATTGATCCTTCAAATGAAGCTGAAAGGAAAGAACAATTGGAACGTATTGGAAACCTATTCAAAAGACAATTAGCTTGTCCTCTCTTAGATATGGAAAAAACGTATGAAGAATATGAAGCATGGCACAATGGGGATGGTGCAGCTGCTACTATTGATAATAAAATTGTTACTGGAGGATATGATCGTGCACTCTCAAAGCTTAATCTTCGTTTACCTTATGAAGAAAAAATTGTGTCTGCACAAGCTGAGAAGGAACTTCTAGACTCATACAAAATGTATTTATCATATGAACTACAAAGTGGAGATCCTGGTCGAATTACAGTTCTATATGAAAGAGCAATCACTGATCTTAGTTTAGAAATGTCAATTTGGCTTGATTACCTTAAATATCTAGATGAAAATATCAAAATCGAATCTATCATAGATCAGGTATATCAAAGAGCTTCAAGAAATGTTCCATGGTGTGTAAAGATATGGCAAAGATGGATAAGATCTTATGAGAAGTGGGGAAAGTCTGTATTAGAAGTTCAAACGTTATTAGAAAATGCTTTATCAGCAGGATTTTCTACTGCAGATGATTATCGAAATTTATGGATAACGTATCTGGAATATTTACGGCGGAAAATTGATCGATATTCTGATTCCGAAGAAAAGCAATTAGATGTATTGCGTAATGCTTTCAATAGAGCTTGTGAGCACTTGGCAAAATCGTTTGGTTTAGAAGGAGATCCTAATTGTATTATATTACAATATTGGGCAAGAACTGAAGCTATACATGCTAATAACATGGAAAAAGCTAGGTCGTTATGGGCCGACATTTTATCACAAGGACATTCCGCAATAGCATCTTACTGGTTAGAATATATTTCATTAGAAAGGTAATTTGTAATATTTCATAATATTCTGTCGAATAAATTAAACAAAATTTTATATGAATATATAATGCATTTGACATTTTTCTCAAATTATAGCTTATTTTGTGTTGCAATAATGCATTTTACGTACAAACATGTAATACGTCGGAATTGAGTGTAGATTTCCTGTTTTTCTGTATAATTTGAGGATTGTAACATGTAACATAGTATACAACGCCTTGTGTTACATTTTAAAAATTAATATTGTAATTCCTTTTTCCATATAGATGTTATGGAGATACCAAGCATCTAAGAAAATTGTTCCAAAAAGCTTTAACTTCGGTAAGGGATTGGCCAGAAAGCATAGCAAATTCTTGGATAGATTTTGAACGAGATGAAGGAACATTAGAACAAATGGAAATATGTGAAATACGAACAAAAGAAAAATTAGATAAAGTTGCTGAGGAAAGACAAAAAGCACCACAAATGTCTAATTCAGAGTTATTGTCATTGAATAAGAAAGCTCATAAGAGGAAACAGGATGAAAGTGGTAAATGGAAGAATTTAGGAGGTTCCCCAACAAAAATTACAAAAGTTGAAACACAGATAAAACCAAAGATAAGAGAAAGTCGTTTAAATCTCGAAAAGAAAATTAATGCCGATGTTGAAGAACAAAGAACAAAAATTACACCGCCACCTGGTTTTAAAACGCCGGAAAATGAAAAAATGGAAATAGAAAATATGCATGAAGTAGATGACAAAACTACAGTTTTCATAAGTAATTTAGACTATACTGCAACCGAAGAGGAAGTTAGAAATGCTTTAGAACCGGCTGGTCCGATTACAATGTTTAAGATGATAAGAGATTATAAAGGACGTAGCAAAGGATATTGCTATGTACAACTCAATTCCGTGGTATGAACTACATTTTTTTTAATGAATTGAAGGTTGGATATTACATAAATACGCGATGTTTAATTAAAAATATCCTTATATAGGAAGCAGTTGAAAAGGCTTTACAGTTGGATAGAACTACTATAAAAGGACGTCCAATGTTTGTTTCAAGATGTGATCCAAACAGAACGAAGGGATCTGGATTTAAATACAGTAACACTCTTGAGAAAAATAAACTTTTTCTTAAAGGTATGTAATATTTCTATTAATTTTTAAAATCTTACTTTAGAAAACTATATTTATCTTTATAAAATGATCAGGACTTCCGCTATCGACAACAAAAGACGAGCTTGAAGAAATTTTCAACGTTTATGGGATACTAAAGGAAGTTCGCATAGTTACCTACCGTAATGGTCATTCTAAAGGATTAGCTTACGTTGAATTTGAAGACGAAAATAGTGCCGCGAAGGCACTTCTAGCCACTGATGGGATGAAAATCGGTGAGAAAGTAATTAGCGTAGCCATAAGCCAACCGCCTGAACGCAAAAAGATTCCGGCGACCGAAGAACTATTTCCAATTAAGTCGCTAGGTGGTACTACAGTAAGCAGATCTACATTTGGTATGCCCAAAACACTATTGTCTATGGTACCCCGTACTGTCAAAATCGCTGCTACTAACGGAAGTGCAAATGTGACTGGAAATGGTGTCGCTCCAAAAATGAGTAACCAAGATTTTAGAAATATGTTACTGAATAAAAAATAATTTACTAGAACATCACTGATTTCTTAAATCCTTGTTTATTTCAAGTGTATTTACTTGATATCGCAAAAGTATCAAAATTGATAAAATTTTTACATTTTCTAAAGCACAATTGAAAGAAGGAGATCTATTTATAAAGATATAAAATTATCTTTTCCAATATACCTACAAAAGAGAAGGGAAAACTAAGAATTACAAATTCTTAGAAAATAAATACGTTTAATGTAAGAAAGTTTATATATACAAGATGAAAATGTGTGTGCAAGTGACCACATGGTACTCTAAATGCATAACGAGAACTTCCTCATCACGCATACATCACAGTGTCACGAAGATACTTTTCTCGCATAGAGACGCACGACCTAAGAATCGTCCGAATTATTCCAAGTGAGAAAACAAATAAAAGAAGTTGGATCACAAATAATAACAAATCAGGGTGACCATTTTTCTCGGTCCAATTTTCCTTCTATGTATCTTATACATACCTTCAAAAACCACATCTAAAAACCGCTGTAAAAAATTCTCGAAACAGCATTTGCATAACTATTGGTATAAAATTACATAATTACATCTTTTCTGTATATTTGGTCACCCTACGTTCAAGTACAAATATAATTCTACAGCTGCAGTGGTGCATTGGACGTGTTGTGTTTTCTATGCCTCGGTGGAGCGACAGGTGGACTTTCAGGTGTCAATAACCGCCTTGCCATAAGCCATTTTTTGGCTCGACCAGAGTGATAATAATACGAGTAAAGCAACGCTATAGCCGCCAGTACAACCAGCAGGCACGTACCAGCGATAACGACACTGAACAACCAATACGGCCCGCTTGGCTCTGGCACCAATGTCGGTTCTGTTGGTGATTTTTCTCCTGGAAGAGATTTCGTCGGTGGTTCTGTTGATGGTATAGGTAGAAGAGGTTCCACATCATCCCCAATAGTAATATCAGCACAAGCACGGAACTCTTCTTGAGGACCACAACCTACAGCTCCTGAACATAGCATTAAGGAATTCCAATTTTTATTTCATCTTATGAAATTTAGGATAAGTACACTCGTTGTCAGTGTATCATTTATTTACATACTTGATTCGAAAGTATCAAAATACTTGAATAATTTGTATCATTTAAAGATATAATAGAAGTGTAATATATATGAAATGAAATATACCCCCTCCCCTTTTTTTCAGATAGAATTATGTAAAATCTTTTTTGTAATTAATATATTTGTTAAAATTGCGTACCTTTTAGTATTTGTATTTTTTTTATTTTCTATCAATAAGCTGATCTAATTTTTATAATTCACCCTGTGTAATGATAAATAATCTATTTTAAATTAATCTTAAAAATTTATATATTATACAGGTTACTCGTTGTATAGTTATTAAATAAAATTTTTGAAAATAATCATTGTACGTGAAGAATATTTAAAAAAACCTAAATATTGAAGCATTATCATAAGTAACTTTAAAGTGGAATTCATACGCAAGATCTTGCAATAATCAAGCTACTGCTTAAATGTAAACTTGATTGAATACTAATACTAATTATGAAGCAACTACTTAATATCACCTCTAATTGCATAATACTTATCACGTATGGAAAGTTCAAACTTTCCATTAGTGCCTTGGGAATACTAATATTATTTTAATGATGAATCACCTAGTTATTTGCAACACCTCTTCAAACAGAACAAAAACGTTGAATAATTTGCTACCGATTACCAATATATTTTCCAAGACTCCTCAAAGCCTTCCAAATCGGACTAACAATGAAAGAAAAATATATACATATATTACAAAACGTATCCCTTATGATATTGCTCCAAAATCTCGTACATAGCAAAATCCAAGAAAGAACAAAAATTATGTCAGTTGTACCCTGTTCTTCACACTATCGACGCTTTAATCGTTCTCACCCTTCCGAACAAACGCTCCATTCAACGAACTTTCCCCGATATCCTCTAAAATTCAATCTCTGTACACAGCTTCAACGATATCTCCGCGGTTACTACCTTCTCCCGCGTGTCTACGCTGGGCCGAACCTTTTGTCGCAAAATGGTGCCTCTCGAACATCCATCCGGCCCCCCGTTCACTCGAACAAAACGCGGGCTAACGCTCATCCCGGAGTTAAGTGGAACAGAAATTCGTGCCATTGGAAAACCCGTGCCCAAGTTCGTTTATCCGAAGACAGAAGCTACAGTTACCTCCCGCTGAAGCTCCGGTTTCGAATTTCAAGAGCCAGCACAATGTTGCAGACACTGAAACTCTGAAATCGCCGTACAATACCTGTTCCGTTTCCACAGTCGCCCCAATTATTTCCAGCCACGTATCTCCACTGAAAGACGCATTGAGCGCAGGTCAGGTCGTCTGGCAATTTGTAGAAACCCTCGAAGATTTTGTTCCCTGGACCGGGATAATATCTCATCGATCCGTTGTTCAGGCGCAGCAGGTACCGGTCCAGGCACTCCTGATCGACTTCCTTGCCCTTGTAGGTCATCGCACACGTACGGAACTCGAAGTAGCCGTGATGGTTCGCGGTGAGTTCCACGCGAACCGGTATCACCGAACCTGTTCGGTATTTCCTCACTATTACTCCGTTTCCGTACTTGCCACCGGTCTCGTGCAGACGAGGCTGTAACAAGATTCGCTCTATTAGTTCTCTCGTGATCTTACAAAAATTATCCCTGAAATCAAACGAATATTCGTCATTGTCTTTTTATTCTGTGAAACACCCTCTTCTAAGAAGAATGCATGGTCCGAAAGCGAAAGTTGAGATATTTTATTTTATTCACGTCTCTATTAGTTCTCTCGTGATCTTACAAAAATCATCCCTGAAATCGAACGAATATTCGTCATTGTCTTTTTATTCTGTCAAACACCCTCTTCTAAGAAGAATGTATGGTCCGAAAGCGAAAGTTGAGATATTTTATTCTATTCACGCCTCTATTAGTTCTCTCGTAATCTTACAAAAATCATCCCTGAAATCGAACGAATATTCGTCATTGTCTTCTTATTCTGTCAAAGACCTTTTCTAAGAAAGTCTAAGTCCGAAAGACCCTAAGAAAGTCCAAAAGCGAATATCAGGGCATTTCGTTTGTCTTACAGTCGTAAAGTAGGTATAAAAATGGTATCTGAAAATGATTAAACGTTATCGATTTCATTAAGAGTGGTGCGTATTTGCCGGGTAAACGTTGAGAAATTTTATTCCACTTGTGAAATTATCTCTGATATTAATTCGCTGTTATTTGATCTGAATTTTAATTATTATTATTAATTTCGTTAAAACTTCGTTAATCCTCGTAGAAGATATAAGTTGAAGAGGAAGCAGGACTGCAGTTTACGTTACTTTCGAATCTCGAGGAAAGTTCGATCTCGATGTTCAAGATAGTAAATTTTCCGGAAGAAACTTTAGACTAAATGACGCACGTAATACGTCTTACCGGTCAGTCTCTCGAAAGTTATCACGTACGTCAGTTATCGCAACTGTTTCATGTAAACTGTTACAAAAAACACGAGCGTAAAATTCGTAATAGTTATTCGGTTACGGGATTAACGAGATGGAAAGTAAGAAAAAGGTAGATTACAACGAGTTTTGACTAGACCGAGTAATCGATTACCATGCTTGGAGAAAAATATTTCAAGTGTGCAATAACTGTGTAATAATCTTGGGAAATTAGAAGAAATAATTTTGCATTGTTTAATTTCCTAAATTAACATCGAATTCGAGTATCTTCTCACTCCAATTGTACGAATATTACACGAAAATACTAATTCATAAACGTAATTAACACTAAACCTACCACGACCTAAAGAACTTAAAGACAGGTAGACTTAGAGGTGATATTGAAAAATATTGATTATATATTTAGGATCATGTTTGGCAGGGATTGCCTAGGATAATATTGCAATGCTTAACAGAAAAGAGTAAGCTTTATTAATTAAATTACGGATTAATATAGCAGAATAATAACTATGCAACGCTTTGTCTGAACTAACCACGACCACACTCGACCTTTTACTCTCATGCTCTTACAACTGACTTCTAAGACTGATCTCTAAACTCGCAACTGACAACTCTTTCTTTTCCTTCACCGGAAACTCTCCCGCGACATGCCCAAACTGTGGGCCCAAACCTGCAAAATGTCAACCTATACACATACAGTGCCGCACAGCCTAACTGACAACTCTTAGACTGACTCTCAAAATGCTAAGACTGGCCCTAAAACACTGACTTTAAACTGAACTCTTAGACTGACTCTCAAAATACTAAGACTACTAAAAATAACAGAAAATTTGTAAAATTCCTGTTATTTTATTCCTAATTATATAATTACAATTTTTAAATATAATTTCGGTCGTGTAACCAGGGTAGCATATGATTCTAATATTCGTCCAGAGCTCGTGACGTGTATTTATGCATGTATTAGACAGCTGTTGCCATAATCAGTAGCAAGTTCGAATAGTCAACTAGCAAATTCCGAACAGCTTTGATCGTGAAATTGTGCGGAGCAACAGGGATCATGCATTCTGTCGTAACCAAAAACAGATTAACCCAGGGGAAGCGAAATAAACCGAATTGGGGTAAATAAACTGCGGGATGTAAAGTACACAGAATTTGCACGCGTAAGATTCAAAAGATACGAGTGTTGGTACAACCGTGTAAATTGTCGAAGGCGACCGAAACAGCAGCATTCCCCTTTATCGTTTAATTTAAAAATGTCAATATTGAAACAAGTGTTTAAAAAGCATTGCCCTGTGCCACACCGTATTCCCCTCTCCAGTTTGCATCGAATAATTCCCGATTCCAGCTGTTTTCCTCTTAATCCAGCATTCGGTGATTAAACAAGAAAATTTCCACGTCGAGTTTCGCAAGATGTATTTTTGGGGTGGGTGTTGAAACACGTGGTATTGTTAGAGCGAGCGTATGTCCGACTGGCAGACCGGAACACCGCAAATAGTAATTTATTCCGTGTTGCAAGAACGTTGCCAAGGGATAATTACGCGAACTTCACAATGGGATCGTCCCGTTTGACGCATCTTTCTTCCTTCCCTTCTTCCTTCTCGTTCCAAATATTTCTTTTATTTAACGCAACAGTGGTTTGTCCCTGTGCGTTTCGCAAGCAGCGTAATGATCAAAAACTACAAAGCACGTGTTCCTTATCTAGCAGTAAGTCAATGTTTAACCATAGTTACCGTTAAACGTTAAACCAACTCGTTACGAGTGCACACATTGCACACAGAAGTGCATAAAGATCAACGATGATTAATAATTTCGAGCAGCAGATTTATGTTACCAACGTAAACTCGTGGAAGACGATCGATACTGTTCGTAATTGAAGAGTGGAAATAAAAATGATTGAAAGATTCGAGCAATGCCTAGTTATTGTATGCATTATATCACTGTACGTGATTTCATCTTTAACCCTCTTGCTATTAGCAGAAGAATGGTAATTTTGGGATTATTGGCATACATATATTTGTATATCGATTAGGAAGTAAATGGGGGTTGTTTACAGATGGAAGGTTAAGAGAGGATGATGCTGGAAAGATCGGGGTTGAAGTGAGCAATGGGGTGATAAGAATGATTAAAGGATGAAAAGAAGAGTTAGTCACTTTGGAGTTTAAATAATGTACATAGATAAATACGAATAGATGAGTAAACACTCGGATAACAGTTCATAAGAGTGACGAAAATAGCTCGATTATTATTCTGATCCCCTGAAGTAAATAGGAGATATAGAATTTCGTGAATGTACATATCGTGGATAGTGCTTCGAAGTTCCCTTATTTTATCTATAGTCGATGATACTAGTCTAGCTGTTATTCAAACTAAACATTTGTTTCGAGAAGAACGAGGGAAATCTCACATCTATAATACTATCTATTCATCGGTTAGCTAAGGTACATACTTTACGAAATACTCAGATGTTTTACCTCGATGGCCTCGCACGCGAAATGTCGGAAGGCACGAATTTATTTACAGAAATATATCCAAAGCCGTTCAAAACACGGTGTAATTGCGTATCGCGAGACTGATGATGTGCGGCTACACTAAAAAAAGGCGAATTCACAGGGAAGCAAAGCTCTTTATACCATTCGACTTTTTCCACCACCACCCTTCCCTCTTTTTCAGTTCGCAAGCAAAAGGGAGGCATGGCTTGTCCCAGTTACGTGACTAACCCCGTATATATTTAGCTGGATTCTTCATCGCGGAGTTTAGGTAAACTGAAAAATAGACAGCGTCAACTGTTCGGGTAAAATAAATTTGCCTAGCCTAAATATAGCCATCTGTTAGTGAAGCGAAACACGCGTGATTAAATGAGACTCACGAAAGAAGTGACGAAAATGAAATTCCTTAAGGAGGTCTTCCAGTTTTCGAGGAAGGTCGATTTTCTTTTTGCTATTTTCTTCGAGTATGGACGTTCGAAAATATGTCTGCCAGGTGATTTCACAGAATCCTTAGCATTAGAGATACAAAATTGCTCGATAGTTCCCGAATAGTTGCGACACTGTGAACTTTAAATGCGTTTTTCTCGAGGCCACGGTTTTTGAAACTGGCTCACACGACAACTCGAGCTCTAATCATCCGATTTACTCCAAATTTGAACAGTATCTTCAGAAAACTTGCCTTTATCTTTGGAACTACGATTAACAAAATCTGACGTGTTTTTCTATCTTCTTCAAACGTGACAAGTCAAACACGTTGACGAAAATCGATATTTCGACTTCGAAGCGTCGTCATTTTCCTCAATCTCGATGTATTTGATTTTCTTTGAGCTCAGACTGTAATTCAAACAGTACATTTTTGTAATTTAGAAAGTACATTCTTGTTGAACAAATTGCTTTGTCATTGATTCCTTTCGGATAAGCAGACAGTCATCGGGGCCCACTTTTAAAACCAGCTTGTGGTGATCGTATTATAGCTGTTACAATTTTCATTTTTCTCAATCGAGAAAATTTGTCTATGTAGTCTAAGGATGAACAAAAAGGATAGCAAAACTCTCGTATCAAGAGGTCTCATACTTTCCCTAAGAGAAATTCACGAAAATCACCTTTTTTACAAGTCTGACAGTAGACATCCTTAAGAACATTCTTATCTTTTGACAGATCCTCTTCTCTTTCATCTCTCGTTGTCATTACGTGGAATCAATTTAATATGCGAAATAAGTTTCAAACGTCGACGAAAATGGAGAACACGTTACAGGAAATTGATCGATGGGATGCAATAACGATAAGCGATGTTCGATCCCGTGAACAGGCATTTTTTCCAACAGTTTCCGACGTCGTTACACAGCTAATGCTTTAAAAGGCATGGAACATTTCTCCTCTCTATTCTCTACCCTACGCTTCCTTATAAGAATTTAAAGTGCTTCGAATTTAATACAGTGAGATCTTGGTTTCGTGTAGGAGTCGAGGCTTCCTGGGATGGTCCCGTTAGGCAAATTCCAATTCGGGAATTTCAATATTGCGCTGGCAAAATGAGACCTGGGGATTTCCCATTCTGAGGATATCAGTAGTACGTTTGATTGAAATTTATTTTTGTACGAGAATTCTCGTGAATAATACGAAAACCTCCAACGGTTTTAAATCCGTGTGATTTGGAATTCTTCATGGTAAAAAGAGAAAGAATCGTGATTGGCAAATCTGATTCTTAAGTCGAGAAAATGAAATTGTTGTGATAATTTCGAGGGATGCACTTGGGAGTGTAATTGTAGAGATGTTTTGCTTTGCATACGACTTCGTGATTGGATACAATGGAACATTACTGCGGTATGCCAATAGGGTGACGTTATTGCGTTCTAAAATTAAATTAGTATCGAGTGAGAGAAAAATTATAAAGGATATAAAATGGTATAGTAACTGAGTGATGTAAAGATTCGATGTATCGCCTTTTAGTTATCTTTCAATAAGGTCTGGAACGTAAGAATAATATTAATCATGGATTTCTGAATAATACTGACTTAATTGAGTTGTAGTCATCTAAATTGCATAGAATTTACCTTCATTGTGTTTTGCATACTTGTTCGCTGCCTTCAGCTAAACTGTAACATCTGTGTATACGTGACATTAATGTAAATTATGCTTATTAGAATTAACCCGTGATATAGAACATTTGAAATTTAAACTAGCAGCAAACTTCTTTATCGACCCAGGAAGTTCGTTTAAATTGTTTTGCTTCCTCGTGCTAATTAATCGGGTTTCTCTTCGAACAGCAGTCGCAGTGCATACATGAGAATAAATTGATATAGAGACGTTATGTGTGGGGAAATATGTGAAAGTGAATTGTATTTTATAAGACCTGTAATGTTTCAAAATAATCACTCTTTTCACCGTGAAGAATCTGTTTCTACACATCCTCAAATGCTAGATAATCATATACTAAATAATAATTTACCTCTTGAGCACTTTCAAAACAGCAACATTCTACTTGCAAATATATTCTACCTGCTTCAGTCGTACGACTAAAAATAATTTCCCAGAAAAGTAATACAAAGAATCTTCGATACCTTGTTACTTCTAATTAAATAGTTTCCAAATCCTAGTAAGTGTTAATCAAGCAAAAAGCAGCTTATTAAAAAAAGCTCCTGCCTGTTTTCAAAGTAGGCCATTCTTGAGGAGAAATTCTCACGAGCTATTCAATTACCTTTTTGTCGAGGATATTTTCTAAATTTCTCTTGTCCCTATTGTACATTGCCTTGTGTTGCATTTTAAAATAAGCTGTATCCCTACAGGAATAAAAAGATCAAAAAAATATACGAGCAACTGAAAGTTAACTATATACTGCTTGACAAAATCAATTTACTCTGTGACCTGTTATTACAGTATTTTCTCCTTTGGTCATTTATGCAGGTGATCGTGTATTCGTACGATGCTATGCCAGTTTCGTGAAAAAATTCGTGTCTCACCGCTGGCGTGTCCCAGGCATCGCCGCATATTCCGCACTTTCCCTTATTTCGCTGCCATTGCCTGGTAAATCCTCCGCAATAGCATTCGTGGTCATTGTAGTCGTGTGGTGTATCGAAACCGTACCTCCACATCGAGGCCCTTGATGGCGGCTCTATCAGTCTTCCATGGGCTGAAACTTGCCCCACGACTAGCACACTCGCGAGGAATACGAAAATAAAAATCTGCAGACGCATAGTTGCTGCGGCAAATCCTGGCCCCTGAAATTTTAAACATTTCTATTAGTATTTGTTCGTTAAATAATTTTTCTTTACATCACAATAAGACGTTAAAATAATTTGATGTAATTACTTGCAAGATATAACTTTCAAGTAATTTTATGGATAGAAAATTGAAAAATAAAACAAAAGACTGAGATGATGGTAGTGTACAGCATATATGGATTGCTGTTTTAATATCAGACATATGTTAGTAACTACATTGCTATTCTGCTTTTATTATTATTGCCTTGTTCAATTTATATCGTTAAATAATATTTTCAGTCTGATATGTTTTATTTATAACTCCTTTCTTCGATATAATGAATAACAAAAATATGACAATGTTTAATTAACGTTATTGGAGAGTTCGGGAGGATTTCGAGCTCGCAACGGGCGTAAAGCCTTTTTTAATAAATCATAACCCGAGTTTCAGGTCTCTGGCAACTGTTTAAGAAATCATCTCTCTTCAGGTTAATTAGCCATTCATTTTCGAGAGGAAAAAGGAAAACGAATAGCTCGTCTATTATTTAAAACCTTCGTAATTAACATTTCTAAATGACTGCAGTAAAAAAGTAATTTTCCATTTATATGTAGGAAACAAGTAGCTTTAAAGGTCTCTCAAGTGCCATTTAAAGAAAAAAGTTGAAGAGCGTTCAAGCTAACATTTAGAAACTTTTCAGCGACCCCAATTTTCACTAGGGAGCAAATACGAATTAGCTCTATGAGAATAATTAAAAAGAATCGACATGCAACACATACAATTATTGGATATCTATGATAAAAATGTACATTCGTTTAAATTTTCCGATATTTCCAATATTTTTAATTCCAAGAATTTTTCATCGGTTGGGAAATGAACGTGGAACCGCAAAAATGACTTTTAAATTTTGGAAAGAGAAGGGTAAGAACAATGATCGATAATGAAGAACATAAATCGAGAATGTAATTTACTTTTACGAGGTGAACGTGTCGAAGTTTGACGAGCCGGTTTTAAAGTGAAAATCGCTTGTGGTACCGCATCAGGTGCCTAGCTGACAAAAGGCGGACACGTCGAGTTAGATACAAAAATTTGTTACAAGTCATTTACATCGAAATCGATCGATTAGAAAGCAGCTAGAATTGAACATGTAAAATTGGCGAGGAGACGTCTTGCGGAAATCGGGCTAAGATGAATGCCTGTGCACATTCTAAATGCATTACGATGCGAAATTCTGACGAAGAACGAATTAGCTCGCAGGTGTCTTAAATTTTATATACTTTATAAAATTCTCTTCGAGAAATTATATCATTCTAATACCCATAGACATTTTAACGCAATTATTCTATTTTCTAGCTATAAATCTATTTAAATTTTCGCCTTAAAGCTTAAAATCTGTATTAAAAATATTTTTCTTGTACATACAAGTTCGTAAAAGATAGCACGCAGATAAAATGACCTAATAATAAATATGGATATTGATATAAGATTAACATCGTTTCAGGAGGATGTCTGTTTTCTTTTGTAAAGTGTAAATAAAGATGTTCCTGCTTGTTCAAGGTTGACGCAATTCTATACCAATTAAACTTCCTGACAAATATTTACTTAACGTTGCTACAGGAGGAATATACATATTGTAATAATAAATGGAAAAATAAATAAACTTTTAATACGTGTGCGAATTTTTCTTCGAATTGTCATACTTTCCTGCAGCCATAAAAGAAGTAACATAAATTAAAACTCTCTCTCTCTGAATAATAACAAAATATACCTATCTCTTCGTACCAATAGATAATAAATAATTCGCTTCGCTTTTCCAACTGATTTAATAAAATTGAAACAAAACAACGTTCAATTCTTTCCGATTTTAATCATTCGCCATTCACTCCGTTACAATAAATTCCAGGATCTTCTTCCTCAAACTAAACACTCCAACACGGATAAATATTTACAGCATACACGAGCAACAAACGAAATTTCATTTCATAAACAATCCTCGTAAAAATTATCCAAAGAACGTTCCATTGCACCGCGACGAAACCACCCCGTAAACAGCCATAATTTCTCGATTTACTGTAATTTCACTTTCCACGATGCGTAACACCGCGCTAATTTCACCGTGCACAGCTGCCACGTTCGCTATAGCGTTCATGTAAATACGCTTCACGTGTAACGAGAGAACAATGCGACAAAACGATATGTAACGATAACAGAACACGAGAATCACAGAGAAAACGTTGCGCGAAAACGTATATAATTTTAACAAAGCTCCGAGACCGAACTCGACGACATTCCAGGCTGGAAGACAGCTACAACCACAAAGGAGAAACTGGCAAACCGGTTGCCACAAGGTCCGCCATCACTATAAACGCGTTATCAGAGGTGGACGCCGTGCGTAAAGATTTCACTACAGCAAAAACCGATATCGCAAAACAAGCAGGTATACCAGGCGACAGGGAAACTAGGAGATTCTCTGAACACTCTCGCGAGATCTCCATATCAATATGCATGCTAAGTAACAAATAATTAATAACGTTTCTAATGAAAGTTACTCGCTCTAATGCAGATGGTCTTTTACCACTGTCAGGATGAAAAAGCTGATCTTCGGGAATTTTTTTCAGGGAAAGCACGAGACTTATCGATACAAGAGTATCACTATCCTTTCTCTTTATCCTTAGCCTACATAGACAAATTTTCTCGATTGAGAAAAATAAAAATTGTAAAAGCTATAATACCATCACCACAAGCTGGTTTTAAAAGTGGGCCCCGATGACTGTCTGCTTATCCGAAAGGAATCAATGACAAAGCAATTTGTTCGGCAAGAATGTACTTTCTGAATTACAAAAATGTACTGTTTGAATTACAGTCTGAGCTCAAAGAAAATCAAATACATCGAGATTGAGGAAAATGACGACGCTTCGAAGTCGAAATATCGATTTTCGTCAACGTGTTTGACTTGTCACGTTTGAAGAAGATAGAAAAACACGTCAGATTTTGTTAATCGTAGTTCCAAAGATAAAGGCAAGTTTTCTGAAGATACTGTTCAAATTTGGAGTAAATCGGATGATTAGAGCTCGAGTTGTCGTGTGAGCCAGTTTCAAAAACCGTGGCCTCGAAAAAAACGCATTTAAAGTTCACAGTGTCGCAACTATTCGGGAACTATCGAGCAATTTTGTATCTCTAATGCTAAGGATTCTGTGAAATCACCTGGCAGACATATTTTCGAACGTCCAAACTCGAAGAAAATGGCAGAAAGAAAATCGACTTTCCTCGAAAAGTGGAAGACCTCCTTAAGGAATTTCATTTTGAACAAAACAAAAATCGATTTTTTCACCCTGGAAAATAGAAGACTCCATTAACTGGGAGAGTCGTAACGAGAGTTGGAGATACGTTTGAACCGGAAGCAGGGTAGGTTATGGCTACGCGGAGAGTGAAAAGCAAGAAGGACAATGACCGATTGGAATGATGGTCAGTGAACCTGAAGCAGCGTCTGTGAACGGAATTGCACATTGTTTGAGTGGATGTTGAGTGAACGAATCTGTACTCAGATACGATAATAATGTTTGTTCGTTTGAAAATAATTTCATAGCTCGAAGTTTTATCTTTCAGCTGCCTCGTAAATACCGATGCTCAAACGACCGGAAGTAAAACGGTTCTTTGTCCGAAGATAATGTAGCACACACAAAACGTTATTTCGGCATTCAAATGGACTTTGCCGATTCAATAGAAGCGATTTTATATACCTAATTCTCTTCTTTATCTAATTTCTCTTCTCTAATTCCTTCTCTTTCTTCTCTGTCAACGAAGTTTCTGAGATAAAAATTGCCTCTGCGAAGGTCGTTGATCACTGTTGGGTGGTTCTAGTTCAGTACAACTTTCGTTCCTCGTTCGATGTAAGCGATTTCTGCAACGCATGGTGTACGTTAATGGAAAATCAAGTGGAACGAATTTCAATTTCCCGCTGCGAAATCGATTTCGCATAAGAGGACGTTATCCTGACTACTTTTTCGGCAAGTCGAGTCATTTTCTCTACTTAACCACAAATTACGTGGCACTTCGTATCTGTCCGATCGTTCAACCGGTATAACGGAGGACGTAGGAAATCTGACTCATTCTGATGACTCGCTACTACTATTCCAAAATACACGAGAATAGTAATTTTAATTTTTAATTTTAACCCTTTGCACTCGACTAACATTTTTTGGCTAAAGAAGAGTAGGGGTTCAAAAATTTTCTGCCATAAAGCTGACGATATTTTGTTTAGCAGTAAATAAGGAATTGAGTAATAATTCAAACGTAGAATTATTTGCATACCGTTACATTATCTTAAATTTGGTATATTAATTAATATCGATCTTCGAAATGTTATCTAATGGTGACTGAAGGTCACCTCTCGAGTGCAAAGGGTTAATACAAATTTTTAATTTTAGAAATAAAGATCTTTAGCTGTTAATTAATATTAATAATAAGAAAGACACAGTTATTCGCGTGATTGCTAAACTCCTGTCTGTAAAGCTAAAATTACAGATCCTATTTCTACGTAACAGAACAGAAAAGTAGTGTAAAATAAGAAAAGATGGAAACGTTATACTTTAATCCCTCGTAATGTCACTCAGAAGATACGTGAGTACTCGAGTACCTACAACTTTCGAATTTTATTTCACTTATTCACCGCTATACTACCATCGAGTAACGTATGTTCCTACATATCAGCTGCCAGTTCTCAAATTTAACCAAAAACCGATCTCTCCTAACTCGTCGTCTGAAAAGCAAAGAAAATTCCGTTATAATAGGAGATAAACTGGAACTGTCCCTGAGAGAAATAGTCAAATTGTTTCTTACCCTGCTTCGATGATAGAAAAACGCGATATCGATCCAATTAATGGCGTCGTACGTGCAGAAAGTAGGTGGCGCGCGTGAAAGAGAGGCGCGCAACCGGTCTTTAGAAACGTCGAACGAAAGAGGCTGCCGGTCTCTTAGCCTCGTATGACGCGATGGAAAAGCAACTGGTCGGCTCCTCTCGAGAAGCGGATTCGGAATACATTAAATCTAATGAAAAATCCGAACGAACCCGCGTCAGACACCTCTTCTCGAGGCGAGAAAATTCGAAATCGCGTGGTAGGGTGAACGAACGCGACCTGCGAACGGATCGGGACCAGGCGCGACGAAAATTCACCGAGTGTCGGGAAAATGGAAATTTAGTAGCGCAAACTAGGTTCCACGGAAAACAAAGCAAACCAAAGTCTCCACCTGTACTGGTCGGCGAGAAAGAGAGACGGAGGACGAGGATCGATAATGCAAAGCAGCTAGAGGTCTCGCCACCTTTGCTGGAAATTCGGGATTCCGTGTTGGGATTAATTAAAAAATAAAAAGAAAGGCTGGAAAAAATATCAGGAATATCGTTTGCTGGCGAGGCGAAATCCGTTTTAAGAACGGGACCCACCAGGTGTGGGAAATGTTTGCCGGTAATTAGAGGATACGATGGAAAAAGAAGGATCCGCGTGGTAAATTCGTCGACGAGGAGAGCATCGTTTGATGGTCGAATCGATGAAAGCATGGCTGTTCTAATTAACTATCCAGGAAACTGACGACCCAATGATTGTACGGAGAAAAAAGAAGATACCTTGGTGAACAGGGTAAAAAGTCGCTTTCCATGATGGAAAGAGCGTTGTTGGACGGCTCGGTGAACCAGAATCGATGCGACAGATCGATCCTAATGTTTAATCGTGAGTTTCGAGTAACACGTTTGGCTGGTATGTGGGTCAGTTACAAGCTACCAATGAGAGTTGAAATTGTTTCACCTTTTTTATACTTTGCGCGACTGGGTTCCGTGTTAGGGGAGCAAGAATGGGGATGCACGAAATTCATCAGGATTTACGATTTCGCGTTATTCGGTAATTTAGCGAGAATGTAATTCTTGCGGGGAAAGATATATGATTACGGAATAGTATCACGTTGTGATACGAAATGCACGAAACTCGTCGGAATTTACCGTCTCTCGTGTTATTTAGTAATTCTGTACAGATGTAATACCTGCGGAAAAACAGGTGTGCGATAGCAGGATAATACCGTAGTTCGTAATTTCGTGAAATACAAGAAATGAGTTCTGCACTCTCATTTGGTGTATTTGGTGACAGCTGCCACTGTAGGAGACACACGGTCTACTTGTTCTCCTACAATGGTTATCTAAAATCAACTACCGTGTAAGAATTAGTGCTGGTAAAAGTGTGTTAAGAGATCCGAGTGTTTTCAGAAAGACTATTGAAGAATGGAAACTAATTTGATGGCAAATTAATATTTCTATCACTGCAGCACTGCTAACGTGGTATTAATAATATAATTTTATATAGCATATCCTGTAATTCTTCATGATTAATCATTAGACTTGGAAAGCTACTTCCCTAATACTCTGATTTGCTAACATCCCATACTACTAAAATATTATTCTCTTAGTAATATGCTACTCTACCTATGTCTATATATTATTATAATTTAGTCAACTAATATACAGCTTCATTTAATAACACTTGATACTTCTATCTCTAGTTATATCGCTTTACTAGTATTACTCTATCCATATCCTATCTTCTCAATGCTCCACCGATACTATTAGCCTAATTGCTTTTCACGTAGATTATCAACACTATTATTTTATGAATAAATTAATTCATTAATATACTATGCTACTAAACTGCTTTATAATTCTAATTTTCTACCTAAACAATTCTAAACACTAGCCTTACCAATCTGTCACTCGAACAATCCTCGACACTCACCTGCTAATCTATTATTGAAATAATCATCAACGATGGTTCTATCAAATTTCTATCCAAAGAAACTTCAACATTCGTTCTTCCAATCTGCTACTCGAACAAGCCTCAACACACGTTCTAATCTGCCACTCAAACAAACCTCAACGCTTATTCTTTCAATCTGCTACACGATCCTCAACACTCATTCTGTTAATCTGCTAGTAGAAAAATCTCCAACATACATTTTGCCAACCTTCTTCTCGAAAGACCCTCCTTCTCACTACTACTTGGCCTACACACGTGCACTACGTAGTTTGTACTTCACGACCATAGTACTCCATACACTTCCTTAATACTTGTTCTACCAATCTGCTACTGGAACATAGTCCTTGATACTCGCTCTACTTTAGATTACTTAGATGTTAATTTAGATGTTAATCTCGAAAATCATTCGGTTCGTACATTACTCCAGGCAATCCGTTCACCCTGCACAGCAAAATCCTGCGACTATTTGAACCGGCACAGCTCTAAAGTAACAGGAACTCGACACCGAACCGGTATTCGGGGTCAAAAGTCTGCTCGACCACGTACCGTGTGCGCGAAAGGAACGAAGGCCCAGCTCTGTCTGTCGGGACGGTACACGGCTCTTGCATCTGCCGTCAGTGAATCAGGCCCACAGAGAAGGCCCGGACCCCGGTCAGGCGACGACTGAACTCGACTTTGCTCGCCGGCAAGCACGGACCCTCGGCCATGTGGGAGTAGGTCATTAGAACGAGCCACTCGCCCGTATTCACGCCACGAATCATCGCGATGATACGGCCCGACACGCGTGCTTCGCTGCCTCTCATTGTCAGTGAAACGTCGTCGCCATCCGTCACGCGTTTCCATTCGTTTCCTCTTGGAGAGAATGCAGAAAAAGCCGCTGCCAGGCGTCGCGACGTCTCCCTGTAAGCAAAGTGTCTCATGAAATGGGTCATACTGCCAAATTGCCTCAGTTCCTGCACATTTTTGGCAAGTACGTGAAATATAAATGCATGACTGATAAAAATAATCTAGCCAAATTTTGACTTCCGTCTTCAATGTTTAAAAAGTGGAAAATTCCGATTTGCATTAAAATTGAAAGTATTTGCACGTGGAGGAACGTAGAGATTGCCTAATGTACATTTTAGGATTGTTACATTCGTTAACTCATTGTCTAAAGTTAATTACTTTTCTCGATATTTAAATCGCAATATCGCTTTATTCTGGATTCCATTGCTTTTCCCATCAGCGGGGTCAAATGTTACGAATCCCGGTTGAAAATATCAAAGGTGGTCTTCGTGACTCGATGAAAGAGAAAAGCGACGAAAACCAGATTATTGCATATTTTACTTAACATTGACCAAGTTTTATTCGAAACACTTTCCTGTAGAACAAACAGTCTAGGATTAACTTAAAGTACTCGTGGTGTATACATAAATACATTCCACCGTGTGTATCGATTTATTTATTATTAAAGTCGTTATTAAATTTAATATTGAAATTAAGTTGTGTGGCACGATAAAAATTATCTGATCAGTAATCTTAAATTTATCACAAATTAAATTCAAAATTACTTTGAAATAATACAATAATATCAGCGGTTCTGTACATCTGGAAAATAACTTTTACTCTGTAATTTTATGTTTTATGGAAACGTAGTTCATGAAATAACAAAGCTTGTGAAATTATGTAGTTTAATGTGGAAAACAGAATTTTTCACGTAAATAAAAGTGAATATTAAGGTAAATGAAGATCTTTGAACGATCAATCGAATTTACTGTACGATGTCCCTTTCTATAACGTATATCTCACAAATAGTGAAATTCTCGGTGGAAACGAGATTATTAAGGAAGAAAAGGTGGTGAAAAAGGAATATTTGATATATAAAGTGAAAGCTTGGGAAACACGAAGTAATAAATTGAATAAAGAAACGCATGAACAAGTTCTAAGCGTGGAATACACTTTCGATGATAAATCAGCTTCTGCATGCATTTGTAGGCGATTACAAAGCCAATTGAACTTGACGAGGATTTCTCAACGGAATAAAGCTCGATTCGTGTGCGATCAAGGGATAAATAAATTGCAATGAAACATTAAAGGGAGTTGATTGGTTTTACCTTTGAAAATAAAACACGGTATGCTGCCCCGATGGGAATTCTTGCCGGCCTTCAATAAATTGTTTCGATAAAAGTTTCCAATAAATTCAACTATCGAAAAATAGATTACTCTCGTGCATCTTTAAACGATTTGAATTTCGAATGATTTATATCGAAAACCACGAGCCATAAAACGTCAAGAAAGTTTATTCTATATAACATATTATTTCTGATAAGATATATTACGATACTACGAAACTATGAAATGTATATATTACGAAATACGACCAGGAAATAAAAATGATGTGGCGAATTTAAGAAGAAAAATGCAAATCGTGTAAATTTTGATGGAAGACTAATCTCTAAAGTAAATACCTTTCCACGGCTTTTAAAACGATTACAAAAGAGATTGATATCCTCGATAAGAACCCCTCGTGGGGATGGGGCAAAAATTGATAGCGAATGTAGGTGAACCAAGAAATATCAAAGGGATTTAAACGTTCCTTTCACCAGAAAGAAATGTTGGAGCATTGCCCAACACGTGTATATATTGTTCCACGAGAAACTGGCTTCTCGACACATTTCCAATAGCTTCGTCTAAACCTAAAAGAAGATCTAACGTCTTTTACAGAACCAAAACGCAGAACCAAAACCAAGAAAACTTTGTGCTTATACCTTAACGTAGGTTTTCTATAAAATGTCGAAGAAATTTTATCAGTCCTCTGAACAATTTTTCCTTGAAGGAGAAAAATTCTGACGAGCAGCTTTCACTACAGGGTCAGCATCTATTGAGGTTGAATTTTCATCCGTTTCCTCTGCAGGTGAAACGAAAATCGACAGTCTAAACAGATAAAATCGAAGAAGATAAGATTAAAATTATAGAAAGTGGCGGATGCAAAGATACAAAATATAAACAATCGAATGCTGTCGGTCGATCTCGTGTGAGAAAGGTAAAATTAAAGTTAGAATATTCTAGATAAATTGAAATAAAAATTGAAAAATTACTTGTTCTTACGATTATTTTGTACGTTAAGATGCACTGTATCGATGTGTTTCCAATTACTTCTTGAGCAGAGAAGTTAATGTCTTGAACGAACGTTTCTGGAGCGGACAGATTCAAACCGCAAAACGCAGTGGAGATTATTCAACTACGTGTTTTAATTAAAGTAACGTTTACTCAACGAGATGTTTACTTGTATTGTAAAATTTAAACTTGGGAAATGATTAAAATTCAAGATTAATATCAGGTATATATTCGAGAAACGAGGATTCGAACAACAAGTTTTTGAAACTTAAACCTTTTACTCGCTACATTGTAACGAAATTACTGAAGCAGAGAACCGCAAGAGCTTCACAAAAGAAACTCATTCTTTTCCTTCTTTTGTAGATAAACTGGAAACAAAATAACAGCAGCTGTTATAAAAAATACGAAAAATCATATAAAAAGTTGAATTTCAAATGATCGCAAAGCAATTATCGATAAATTTTACAAAAATAAATTTCTACAAATTTGGAAATAGAATTAACAAACCCTCGATACAAAAATGATATTCCGTAATAAAATTATAGTTTGTAAAAAGGTTCTATAAATCTCGATTCTGAAGAAACAGACCGTAATCGAAACCATTTTATGCAACGAAGCATAAAGAAAGAAATTAAAGAGTAAAACTATCGAGTACAGTAATATTACCATACCGTTATACTAAGTTTCAGCTAACAATCATCATCTTTAATATGAATATAAAAGTTCAATTCATTTCGGTATATCATTTACTAATTTAACGCCAAAGCTACTAAAGCGAAATATATAACGAATGACTCATAATTTCTACTAAAAATTGCCCAAAATAAATACTAAGTACACAAGTCGATCACAAAAATATTCAAAAACATGTATTACAAATTCTTTGTTTCACTTTTTCCACGCTCTCACTCTTTGACCACCAGAACATATATTACAATCCACGTTAATTATACTCTAGCATGATATAATACACTTTTCTGTACGTTGTGTTTATTGAAAATACGAACCACAAGTACTATATTATACTTAACGTGAATATTTTTGTGGACTACGCTGGTTTCCGATATGCTTCATAATTTTCTATGAAAAATAGGAATAAATATTATCTGCATCGTATAGCCTACTTTTTAAAGATCCATTGTTCTTACCATCCTAGTAGAAAGAAACTCGCGTTAATCGTCCATAAATCTGGTTTTAAGAACACTTTAAGAATAAACACGAAATTGCAAAATTGAGACAAACATACCTGTTGCATATTCTACACGAACGTATTCCCAAGCTGAAGTGTTTCTTCGCCACTCGTAAAAGCGTCACTTTTTCTGCGACACGGAGCACAAAGATCTCGGAAAAGGAGAAAAATGTCGACCGTTTAAAACGCTTACGGCTGATTCCCGTCTGCTCGGTTTCCCAAAGACATGCTCTTTGAACATTTGATGTCCTCTTGTCGTTCTTGTTTCCACGCGCGACGCATAATTTATCCGATGCCACCTTTCCTCGTGGCTTTCGTTGAAATCGTTATTTCCCATTCAAATATTTGCCCCTTCTCCTTTTTCACGTCGCAGCTGTTTAAATTCCACGATGCTCCGGCTTCTTTTTCACTCGCCTCAGAAATTAACGAAACCGTACAGTTACATGATTTATGACTGGTATTGTACGAAACGTAACAAATTAATGGAGTAATTTGCAATGATCGATCTTACATTTTGCTCTTGTAAATCTCTAACACATTTTATTCGGAATCGCGTCTCGAAGTATCGTAGAAGGCACGCATCGAATACCTGGTAATATTCCAAACGTTCCTGTAAAATAGAAAAATGGTAAAAATGGTACTTTCTCTGGGAACTTTAGATTAAAATTTCTTGAACTTGAGATTGGGTTCAAGAGTCAAAATACTTAAAAATTATAAAGATGTTAGTATCGTACTGAAATCTTGTTTGTTTTTAACTTGCACACCTCCAAGGAGTTTAAAGATTAGTGTTCTATGCTGGTATAGAGAATTTCGGGTTGAAGCTAATGTCGAGGATCTCCGAGGTAGAATCAGGATTGATATCGGTGGTTTCCCAATTGGTGTTAGGATTCTCGAGGCTGATGTCGAGACTGATGATGGTTTGGTAGTTGATGTTGAAACTTTGAAGCTAATGTTTTATTGTTGAAAACAAATTTTCGAGTTAACTGATGTATTTATTTATATACAGAAAAATCAAATTATACTATTCTATCTGTATTATTCACTGTACAATTATACAGTTTGAATATTATTTACTGAAATGAAGAGGTTGACTAAGGATAAGACATTGATATTGCAAAAATATTATACTCGTGCAGGTATCCTACCTCACTGAATATTCAATACGTAGGATTAATTAAACAACATACCAAAATTATTTTAATTCATGTAAATCCATCCATGTTCGGAAAAAATCTCTCCTATCGGTTTTAATTTAAGCTTCCAATTTCCATGCAAACAGTTTTTGTTCTTTAAATCGTCTTTCGTGATCCAATTCCTCTTGTTTTTACAACTATAGTCCATATAAAGTGCAATTTTTTCATGCAGTTTGTCAAAATATAAGAGTATTAAGTTAATTTACAAAAATGTAAAATATAACTCGTTATTATCATAACTTTTTTAATTGACTGTAGAATTTACTTAATTTTCGGAAACTGAAGATGATAGAGGAATTTCGATTACGGATTTGTTTTCAGGAAAGTAAACTCTACCAGAATCTCCTAATGGATAATACAGATTAAAGAAAAAGTAACAATTTGTTGGACTATGTAATTGTCGTAGATACCTTCATTGTTGAATATCCTTCTGTAACGAACATGAAATTCTACGTTGAATATTCGCTTACAATGCCTACAAGTGGTGCGTACTGTGCATTTCTCTCCTTTACATAGGTATTTGTGCAAATGTGCATAAAATATGTAGTGACGTATGTATGACAATCGAATGTTCCGATGCAATTTGATATCCTGCAATGAGACGTAGTATATTTTATATTACCGATATAAATGTATAATGGTTATTAATTAAAATGAACTTTTCACTGTTCATTTAACAGATTTTATTTCATATTTATTCATTTTAGCAATAACAGCAGCGTTAATTTGATTTTCATTTTGAATTATTTTGCACGATGATTTAAATTATTGTACTATTTTATGTCATTTCATTTTATAAGAGTTAGATGACTCATTACGTTTTAAAATTACAGAACAGGTAAAGCATAAGTTCCTTTCATATTTTACATCTTATAAAAGAAGGAGAATATGTATATTCTGCTTAGAGGCCCCGTTAGCCTTGCATGAATGTAACAGTTCACTTCCATCGAAGCTTTCAGTATGAGATCATTCACTTCTTGCTCGAGGACAAAGCAATAGCACGTTATATACCATAACGATCTTGGTAGCATTGGCAAGATATATTACAAAATAATCAAGAATGAGAATTTTGTATTCAAATGAAGTTTTGATTTTAAGTGGAACATTTCTTAGATTTTATATAAAAGGTATTTGTATAAATTACATTCTATTTGACGAATTCTTCTCTTTCTCTTTACACTGCAGTTTTAATTTTCAATGCATTAATAATTGCAGAGCTACCTGGTATCCATTAATCGTTACAAAAAGCAATCACAAAAACCCTTCATTTATGATTGAATATTCCAATTTATACGATACGTACACACGTGTTGCTAATTTATTATACATCCATGAAAAACGAAATCATCTTTGTGCACAGATAGATCTAAATGCGAGGCAGCGATCATCCATCGGCATTGTATTCAGTAGCGATGCACTTTCGCGCGACACGCGATGGAAATTGAGCGGAAAGTACCTTGCTCTTGAACGGGCAACGTAAACGCTGCGGAAAGGAAATTGCAAACGTCTCAGAGGTTGGCCCTGTCTGCACGATTTCTCGCGAATTTCTAATCGACGTGGATCCGCTCGATTTGTCAATGATACACTCCTGAGTCGTTGCACTCTACCATGACACATCGCTCGCTGCTTCCAACTTAAGTGAATGCACTCGATTAATTTTATACGATCGATAGACCAAGGGTATAAAATATCGACTTTGTCTGACAATAGTTCCTTAAGGGAAATTCAGTTTCCCTTTCCGATTTCCAATTATGAGTCCGTTCTGGATTAAGCCAAAATTATATCAGTTATGATCCAAATATTTTTGTAGTCAACTATACATGTCGTTTAGCCGAACAGAGCAATTTTTTTATTTGGAACAAAGCAGCTCTGTGATATTTTTACATTCTTACAGTTATGATTCATTAATTGTGAGTTAATTGGCAATTTGATTCCTGTAAATGATCGAAGATGTGGTTATTACTGTGTTCTCCCTCTTACATTCGAACGTGATTAAACTTTTAAGACGATAACAAATAGAGATTTGAATTATCTTCAATATTTTATGAAAAGTATTATTAAATATAGCTCCTTTGCTATTGAATTACATTACGTGAAACTTGCGATAAGTTGCTAACCCTGTTAAGAGCAGCCCCATCTTCAAGAGCACTTATCGTGTTCTCGATACCCGGTTGAGAACCAATAACTTATCCTTCTTGGTTTCAAACTGATCGAAGTTTCCGAAACGTCCATTCCTCCATTAATTTGGATTAATCTGACAAGCTGTTTTCTCCTTTCACTAACTGAAATTCCTATAACGTTTCTTAACTTTTACTTTTATTGAACGAAAAAATAAATATGCATATTCGCAAACAATTTTCGGATGTTGAAATTTTTTACGAATTGTTTGGATCTCTACAAGGCTGTATTACCAGATTGGTCATTTTTTCGTATTAAACATATGTAAATTGAACGAACTCTTCTTTCTCCTTTCTCTTTGTTATGCTATAGAGACTAGTACGCTTTTCGTGTACATAATTCCTACGTAGAGACATGTGTTCCATTTAATTTCGATTCTTGAACTACTTCCAATTCTTAAATTGTTTGAACAAAAGATGGTATGCCGTTGAAGATGTTCCAATCGTCGAATGATCCTTTTAGACAAGAAATTAATGAAATATTGATATAAGAGTGCGGTATTATAATTTACGTGTGCTAATATTCTCATTTATTTTTTAACTGCAACTTGGACAAAATTTATCAACGAAAACTATTTAACATAAAAAATCCTTGCACGAAACTCAAAAATATTGATTCCAATTCTTTCTGTGAATCAAATGAATGTTCGCATTGAAGCTTCATTGATAAATGGCTCGCGTTTACAAGTAAACGTGGAATTTCTGAATCTTCGATCAAAATTTTTCAAAAGATGAATGTTTGATTGATGAAACTGATAGTATTCCATCGCTCCCGGGGCCATTTTTACTTTCGCTGAGCATCGCGTGGTAATGCAGCTGCACGCTTTTCCTTTTAACCAGACAAAGTGATTCAACCGGATGACCGGTTCAGGAGGTTCACCGTGACGGTGCATCCACATAGCCATAAACGCTGCACTCGGCCAACACCCTCAAGGCAAAGACCGTCCGATCGATTCCTCGCCGCGAACCCCGCTTTCTGCAGCTTCGTACATCGCTCTTGCGTTTCGTCTCTGCCGTTTCCGGGCCAACTTAAAGCCAGACCGTTGAAAGAAATCTGACGGCCTCGAGCTTCCGACAGAATTCATTCTCCATTGTCGTGGTTCCTTCACGTTAAAGTATAAAACAGGATTGGATAGTAGTATCAAAGTGATCCAATAAAATTTCAATAATCTAAATTTTTCAATTTGGCTTGGTTGAAATTTTTAATATTTAAATTCGGTTTCTGGCATTTTTCACTTTTAAATTTGATCTCTGAGATATTTCATTTTTTAATTTAATTTCTGATGTTTTGAGTTTTTTAAATTTATTTTCTTTTATAGTTTTTACTTCTTCTTCGGTACAGGCGAAAGGAAAATTGAACAAGGATTAAATTTAAAGTTAAATTTGTCGTTAGTTTTGAATACTGTTGTGGACGAATTAATCAGGAATAATGAATAGATTTATGAGAATAAATGGAAATGAAGGGAATAAATTTGAAAATGAAATTCTTCGTACATAATAGTATTATGAAGCAAGGTTTCAGTGAAATATGAACGAGAAGTATCATAAATTTATTTATGGATAAATACCGTGGAAAATAGTAGATGTACTAAAGGAATTGGCTGTATGATGATTCATTTATATTTCTGTAAACCTGTCTCTTCTTCAACGGATCAGAATGTTGATTAGAGTGCAGAAGGAAAGATTAACGATTTGGAACTGTGTAGGTAGACACAAATTTTTTCAATGAAGCAGCACCTTTTTCTAGAATAAGATAACAATGACAAAATATTAACTTATAAAAATGAAACTGTTCATGTAAATAATATACACATGTCCACATTTCTTCCAAAAATTTCATCCTGTTTGTTTATTCCTGAACTGTTGTACCTTTTTACTGGACTACTACACTAACACTGTTAAATGAAAATAAGAAACTGTATTTAACAGTAATTTTTCTTTTTCATAATCAAACCTCTAGTTATAAAGGAGTTAAAAAGTCGAGAAATTCAAAGAACTTATAATTAAATGGCGAACTTTAGAAATGTAACAAATAAAAGTATTCAGGAGGCTGTAAATTAAAAAGAAAGTCACAGTCCTAGAAATTTTTCAGCTTAGTAATTTAAGCATACTTTTCACGCTAGATGTATCTTGAACGAATTTAAATAACTAATATTACTTAAAATAGACGATATGCTGATTAATTAGCACGAGAATATTTAAGAAACATTTAGATGCTTTTTAAAGAACAAGAAAAGAAAGTGAGAAATCCTTGCGAACGCGTTGTACCGAAAAACTGGGATTACCTAATATTGATTTGACCCAATATCCCAGCATAATACAAAATAGTATTAAAAGATGACACTTACCCCATATTTCACCTGTTTTTATTTCGAAATCCAGGCTTTTGAGGATAACAGACAAATAAATACCCAGAATTCAGTGGATAAAAATCAAACATTTATTCAGTTTGATATTATTCATGAAATTCGACTATTTTCAATTACTTTTACTAAAAATATATTTTAAAAATTAATCGTGACTCAGTATGATAAGATATAAATTTTTTATTTTACCTTCACAATGGACGTTTCTCGATAGAAATGGTTTGACTTCCGCAGAATGGAATTAATACTGTTGATTAAATATTAATGTTTCCAATAGTACCTTTAAACGTATATTGTTGGAAATATTCCAGCTTTCGACGATAAAGGATTGCTGGAGAAAAGGACGACTACAAAGGGTACAATTTCGGGTGGAGAATCTTCCCTCTTTTGCGTCGCGTAACAGAGTCTACAGTAAATTGCTTTTCCTTTTTGTGTCAAGTATCCAACTGCATGAACGAATGCACGATAAATATGTTTAAATGTGGAAAATGATCATTTGACGATTGATACATTTATAATGGATGGTAAACGTTCCAATTGAGAATGCTGAGCAGCCAAATTACGATTATTTTATAACAGCAGATATATAAAATGCCGCAATTAATATATTTGCGATTAGACTTTCTTTTATCCTAAAATTTCATTTATGCAACATCGATAATTATCTATCGAGAAATAACAAATAGATTCTTGTATGGAGAATATTTTGGAAAATATTTATATTCGATAAACGATGTATTATACGTCAGATATTTTCTTGTTTTAATAAATATTTTTAAAAATCTAATTACTTCTTTGCTCGAATTAGCAACATCATGGCTATTCATCTTGACTAAATAACATTTCTAGTCACATACACGTGTGTTTTGTGTGCTCGAGGAAGTACGACGATTGTTGCATTGCAATTGCGCCAAGCGCATGGCTGTACGAGAATTATCATGGCGAAATAACTGTTACCGTCTTATTCATCTGGGCCCCTTGGATAGCAAATGTTTATTTAAAAAATCTGGAAATCTAATAACAAAAGAGAGACATCTTCGTTCTGGTCCAAAGTGTATACGACATCGTATTCGGATATTTTTTACCTGATAACAGATACAAATTTATATACTAATTACACACAGTCTCGTACAAAAATTAATTTTAATTCTGAAAATAAAAAAATAAAAGATAGATATTGTCCATCTACATCTCAGAAACCAAAACCTAACAGGAGCAACACGTATTTAAAAGAGTTGTTCAAAATATTAACTTCTATAATATATTCAAAAATTATCGAAATCGGTGGTGTATACCCTAACCTCCCTAAATTATCATACACACGAAAACTTACGGTACACGCTGGATAATTTTAGCTTCGGACAATAAAGTAAGAGAATTCAGAAATTAGATATCTTTAGTTAGAGATTAAATCATTTTCATTACCTCTGATTACCTTAATTTAGCTTGCACCAGGGAGAAAATCACTTACGAATTATCTAAAAGCCCGAAATTGATGTACGCATGCGCACAATTAATTCGACTTCCGGTAATGACACGATCCTTAACCGTATAATCAAACTTAGTTTTAAACGGCAACTAATTTAGCGAAAAATGATCACCCCGAGCTGAACCGTTCATTTAATTTCAAAGGAAATATTACCTAACAAGATTTACATATCTTTTAAAAGCGAAAAGAGATATTCAGAGATAAACTGTATCTTGAACTCATCTTGCTTCTCCAGACTATATTTCACACGACTAACCACTTGAAAGACGTACAAACGGATAAGATTTTGTGCTGAATCAGGCTTTCTGAACGTAAAATGATTTAAAAGTACTCTGAATTTTTTAGGCTTTAATGTCAACGAAGTTGATCTAATTCTTCCTTATTCAGCCGGTCTGCTATTTAATTTTAATTAAATAGAATTTGAATGATATCCCTACGTTTTACGTTTCACGTACTTTTTTAAATATATCTCGTGGCTTTGATTTTATATACCTGTTTTATGAAATATCTACACTTTTTCTCCTTTCCGCATAACATAACACGATATTCGTGTTTTATTTTAATTGAATAATTTTATTCAATTCTTTGAATATTGTACTTGTTTTTATACATATCTGAATATGTATATACTTATATGTAAACAAATGAAAACAGATTCAGAGTAGAATTTTCCAAATTTTGTAGTTGAAATATATTTAGAGTGTAAATTTTACAGAAATGCAAAGCTAAAGCAACTTCTGATGCAATAAATATCTTTTCTACTTTTTTGTTTTTGTATCAAATATCAATTTAAAAAGTAGCAAATTATTTAAAGTAAAATAACAAATAGATTTTTTATTCTAGCCAAATGTTATAGATGATTGCATTAAAGATTTTGCTTTGTGCATGTTCAAGTCTCTTTTAGAATCCTCTTCAAATGCATTTAATGTAAAGCTGTTTCCATTAAAGCATAAGGATTTAAGCTTTTTGTTATCATAGAAAGAGAAGTCTATATATAAGAACACATGTATATGAATACTTTCAAACATGAATTTAAAACTTGGTGAATTACCTTTTTAATAAGCAACATGAAGTTTATTTCTTGTTAAAAGACTTAATACTTTAATTCTAAAAGAAAAGCTTTAATATATTACTTCTTCATTCACCATTAAATACTCATTACTCCTTTATCCAATTTCTCAGTTATATTCCTGAATACAAGCACTTTTATGTTTTTTGTCTTTTGTTCTTTTTTTTACAGAACACAAAGTTTTTGAGGTTAAGTCTTTACAGCTCTCAAAAAAATTATTTAAAGCTGTTTTTTCATTTTTCTGTATTTCCAGATTCTGGTGATTAATATATTTTTCTTAAGTCGTCCATCCCTGAATAACAAATAACGAAATAACGAAAAAATAAATGATAATAGAATTAATTTCCAACATATAGTTTAAAATATAAAATTAAAAAATTACCTTTTAAATCTCGATATCTGTATCATGTAACTACTACCCATTGCCGTAGTTGAAAATTGTGGTAAAATTTGTAAAATTACAAACGGAGAACTTTACACATAAAAATCATTTCATTCTAATTAAAAATTCGACCCCTAATTTGTGGAGAAATCTTCAGCACGCAGTCACCTCGTTTCCCTTCGCGAATCTCTCGGGTGTGCTCGTGTCACGTGACCTAGAAAACTGTACGCATTTGAATATCGCGAAAATCGCGCGTTTCATTTTGTCAGAATGATATCAACTCACGATATGTATTGGTTTTGCAGGTAAATAGTTAACAAGCGGATACAAGAATTTTCATCAAGGAAATGGCTTGACTATTTTAGCCGATGGTCAGCCGCTAATCAAAGAGCTTCTTCTAAGGCCACCGCGCTCTGAGCGATGGCAAGAGGGAATGAGTAATTGATAAGGCTGTTTCAGAGTTCATCTGACCTCGTACCTGACATTTGAAACAGTTTTTTAAATGACCGTACCGAGTAACCTTGATGTTTCTTTCTTGGCAAAAGGAAGAACAAGGATAATGCTGGAAAAATAAAAATGTTCAAAATTTATTACAAATATACATGACAAAGAGTTTCTAAGATTCTGTTGAAGTCTTTATTAGAAACATTTATTTTATAATTGTTCTAAAAAAGTATATTATGACTGCTTTGTGGCAGTATATTGGTAGATTTTCGAAATGATTTTGACCATTAACGATGTATATTTTTTTTATGACTTTTTGACGAATGATTAATTATTAAAGAATGTCATTAAAAGTTTTACAAATTAGTAAGAATATTATTAAATTCAAAAAAGAAAAAGTAAGTTTTGGAATGAAAAAAGAAATTGTTTACCGATTAATTTACTAAATACGAGTCACGAATTGGACAATATGGCTTGTAAAATAACAGACAGAGATTCGTTTCAAATGTATGATTCATGGTCTTGATATTCACGACTGAACAACTCATAGACACGTATTTCTTCTGAGAATTCTTTCACTTCATAATAATTATAATGAAGTGAAGTTTGAAAAAATTAATGTTTCTATGATGTACAATTTCATTTCCTACTTTACTATATAAATATATTTAAAAATACGAATTTATGTTAATCTAACATCATATCGTAATATTTAAAAAGAATAAAATAATCAAATATTTAATTAAATTGCTATAGCAAATCAGAAACTTGAGTAATATTATTAGAAGGATCATAAGAAAAAACTTCTTATGAATAATTTGCTACAGAGTTAACAATTTATTACATAATAGCGTGATAAATATCTAAAAAGTTACAATTTTTATCATGTCATATAATTTTGCATAATATACATCGAAATGTTTGAGCAACCGTGTATAATACAATGGTAAACGATTAACAAATTTTAACGCTCGGTTCGATTTTCCTGCTATCTAATTCCAGTCTGAGAAATTAAACAAACATTCTTCTGCATACGTGTTTTACTTACTAAAAGTAAGCACTATTATGAGAGGACGAGAAATTTCGAAACAACATTACTGATCATTTTTATCAGTGTAAACATAAAATCGGAATTATAATTTTCTATAATAATTAAATACAATTTAATTAACCAGTTTCGAATGCAGACTGGAACCACAAATGTACAATTTTACGAATCAGTTGAACGCGTATTTCATGAATAAACAATGAAAATTATTGTGTAATGTAATGGTCGATACATTATGTTTATATTGTATCTAAGCGTGCAACGTGCATTAAAGTTTCCTTTGTAACATTGGTAGAAACATATATGCAAGGTTCTTAATTAAAAACGCAGCTGGTTCCTATTACCGTTTCATTATTCCTTTCACTAACAAATTTATAAACATTACGATGAAACTTTACTAGTGCTTTTGTTACTTTCGTGAAGAACATATAAAACATTAATTTATTATCATATTAAATATTTCAAACGAAAACGCAAATGAAGCTAAAGTACACAAAAACTTACTTCTTTTTAACGATTTTAAAAAATAGAGATAAATTAGTTTTTAAATTTCAAATGTCGAAGAAACCATGAAAATTTACTATGTTTTTAATCGAGACTCACTTGCATGATTACAATCTTCCTTCTGATGTTTCACTTCTTGCACAAATTATTCCAGTCAATTTTAAAGAAAGAATCAGTAAAAGTCTTTTCCATTTGGAAATACCAGGAGGATAAAGGAGAAATAGATTTTTCAAAATGACGAAAATGTGATATGTAGACTACATAGAAAAGCAGATGCTCTGAAATCTGCGTTCAATTACATACATCGAAATAAAACGATATATATCTATATGTATATGTATTTAATGCTAATTGACCAAAGTATTTTTGGCACGTTTCGAATGTGTTCCAGACCATTTTTCTCTTCACTTACCTTCTACATCTATTCTATAAAACAATTTTAACGAGAATTAGACTATCGATCATAGAATCAAAGTCACGTGTATTTAAAAACACTTTATATTTTTATAGGACTAGAATACCAAAAAATGTATTTATACGTCGAATATAAAATTGTAATATTAAAACATTAGTAAGTATATTTATACTTCGAAAATAAAATTATTAATTCAAAAGCAACTGTATCAAGATTAAAACTGGCTTTGAAATCATGAATGATAGTATGGACAAAAATTCACAGACCGATGCAACGTACGATTGTGACCTGCGAAAACAGTTAATTCTATTTTTATTACCTGTTGCAGCAATAAAAAATAACACGTGACTGTGACTGATATCACTACCGAACATGTACGTGTATTGTATGCATCGATATAGTTCTGATGTAGACCAGATCTAATTACTTAGATAAAGGCTAGAGGTCAATCTAGAAGTTGATTTATATTTTCAGTTAATACTCTGCCTGTAGAATGATTGAAACTAGACACACGATTGATTAGCTGAAATATAAATGAACTCTGATAAACGTGCGAGTCACTGAGTATCACAAGTGTTCTTTTTTCTGAACCATTAGTATTGACTTAGAGGAGTTTCTCATAAAAAGTGATTACATTTAATAGGTAATCAACTTGTTTTAAGTTTGAAGAGAATTGCTTTTTATGTGGGTAACTAATAGCTGTATGATTATGAAACTCAGTTACTCCATTCAAGAAAATGCCACACAAACACTCATAGATGTTCCTAATTTTATTTGCTTTGTAAAATATGGAAGAGAAGAAAACTAAAGAGAAAATAACATTAATGTAATAACGTAAAATGTACTAATTACATTAATTTATAAATGTAAACAAAAAATTTGTAATCAACTTGTATAAATTCTAAATTATAGAAAACACTAAAACATTTTCTTGAAATGCACGTAATTGACCAATCAAGATGTATGAAAGTGTGCTATTTTGTTTATACCTTACTAAATAACAGACTTTTCACTTACATATATCATAGTAAAATGTAACTAGAACATAGTTTACATAGCTCATTGAATGCACATCTGTGTCTTAAGGCAATTTCATTTTTCATACCCTAATATATGCAATCTTTGGCTCTGCACATTTCTGTCTTCATTCTTTGTGCCATAAAATATGCTTGCCACTTTTCCTACTCTATAAACATATATACATACAATAAAATTTATGTATTACAAACAGAAATTTTTAAACCATAACAAGTGTTACTTGTGTATACATAGGTAATTTCTTAAAATGGTACACTACACAATATTTATTTACTAATTATAAAGAATAATTTTCAGTTATATATATTTTGAATGTAAGAATAGTTAGACTATTGCTGCAGATGAAATAGTTAACTACATACAGGGTGATTATAGTGAATATAGTTATATATTATTCACTATGTAAAAAGTATAATTTTATTATAATTAAATACTATTAAAAACTTACTTGTATTTTCTCCTTTCATTTGGGAGCATATTATCATAACGATTTTAATTAATTAATATAATCTGATTAAACAATATGTACAAAGAACATAAATTCTTAATAAATTACATAAATTTTAATAAACAATGTAAAAATTATAATAATAAAATATAATTAAATTTTGTTTTTAAACATAGATATTATCATGCTGTCACCCAGTATATAAGAATTATAAATATACAGAGTATCCCATATAAATTGACACAGCAACAAATTTTGTAAGCAAGTGATTGTCTAACAGACAAATTGATTTTAAAATGATCAAAAACTCTCATACATTAAAACACTAATAATATTATTCGAATTTCTAATAAAAAATTTAAAAAACACGTGTTACTTTACTGTTTTAAAATCAGCTTTCAACAAGATTTTTTGCTATGTCAACATAAATTGGACATTTTGTTTATCAAGTTTTTCTACACCCTAATAAATATAAATGAAATTTGGCACTGTAATTATGAATTCTATGTAGATGAACAGTTACAAAATATTATTTAAATTTTGATTTTGATTATTCAAAAACTTTTTAAATATTATAGAACTTTAAATTATTTTACTAATTTACTAAATTCTGTCAAATATACTTAATCCGTATTTTAAATAATCGTATTATAACTCTAATTATATAATTAAAAATTCATACATCTCATATCTACATAAAAAGAAAAATAATATTTTTAAATCTTAGTTGTCCCATTAATTTCGATAAACATACAGGCATTGACATACAAGATTGGCCCCCAATAACATACTTACAGAGGAAGTTAAATAAATTATTTGTCAAAAATACCTGTTGATCCCATGCTATTTATAAACTAATAAAGTTCAGGAACAAATTATTATAGTAATAATAAATCAAAGATAAATATAGTACATTTATAAAACTAATGCATATTAACTATTATGTACAAAGATATCAAAATACTTTTAAAAATCATTATAACATATTTTACAACTTAGTCTTTTTCAAATGTTTATAGTAAGACACAAATAGTCATTGGAAGATATAGTAATATTAGCTACCATTACAATACAAAACATTATATATGTCAAAATTGTAATTAACTTTTATTAATACTATCAAACTATATATCTTTTCCAAACTTATAATTTTCTATAACTATCATTGAATCATAAGATAAATTAAATAATTAAATTTACTAGAAGTACCTTGTAATAAAAATGTGTCAATACTAATAACTAAAATTGCCAGAATATTTACTACTACCTATTAGTAAATTAATTGCAAAATATCTGAAAGCATAGAAAAGCTTATGATTTTATAAGAAGAAAGAGAAAATTGATTTTTTATCATGTCCAATATTAATTACTTCCTTTAAAATTATTAGTGATATTAGATATCATTGAATCTTTTAAATCAATATTGTATGCAACATAGTACATTTGACATTATATTCTCTCCTAGTATAACTAGATTAATTTTAAAGATTTGTGATTTAAAAGAATTTATAAATTAATTTAATTGCAATACAGGAAATAATTTAAAAAATAACTAAACATTCTAATCTTATTTTAACTGTGGATTTTTATTTTGTCCTACTATCTTACTGCGTAATAAATTAAAATGTCCATGCACCTGAGATAATTGTGCTTTAAGAGAATCTGAAAGTTGCTTTTGCAACTGCTGAACTTCCAATATTTCTTGTCGAAGATTCTGATAATCTTTTGTAACTTGATGAACACACCGTAATAGACGAAGCACAGAAATCTGTTAAAAGCATAAGAAAAAAAGAAAAATAAAAACAACAATTTATACATTAAATTTAGTACCTATTAAGCAAATAATTTGAATTGTAATTTTTCTCTAACTAAAGATTTTACCATCAATTGAACAACTGACACTTAAAAAGAAAATATAATTTTTTGTTCTAATAACAATTTTTAAATAAATTAAATTTAATGACAAAGATAAAGAAAATAATTCGTCGTTTTGGAACACAGTTTTAAACAAAACATACCTCACTGTCTGGGTCTTCAAATTCTTTCTCGAAAGCGTCAATTTGCCATGCAATCATATCCAGCTTCCCGTCAGCTTTTTGTACCTATAACATCCAACATTTTATGAAATATTATCTTATAACAGATTTGAGGTATAGAAACTGATTAAGTTTAATATGTATAAGAAATTATAAATAATACTCGAAATGGATAAACTGAAAATGATTGGTAACTATACGTACGCTTTGTTCAAGATGCATAATAGCAGATTCCATATTATCTGTTATAAATAACAAATTATTTCAAACGAAGAAGAGATAACTAACAAACCACTTGTCTGAAGTCGATGGTTAACTTTCTCGCACTAGAATCGATATGCGCTTACTGGAACATTTGAAAAGCAGTGAACGACGGTTACTGTCGCTACTTAAGTATTTCATCACTTGGAGGCAGCACTTGCTCAATACTTTTCCTATTATCATTAAAACTGTTTTATCAGTTGCTATAACAAATGTTCACTACAGAGTTTAGTCTTTTTATAACAATTTTGAATTCCAAAAAGTTTCAAGTTTTTCATTAATATTTCAATAACAAAATTTATTAACAATTATTTACTATAGTTATACAAAAAGTACTGAAAACGGCGACACATCTGTCGGGTCGGTAACTACAGTGAGTGGCAGTGTCACCACACTGTATAAAGATAAAATATCATCTGTTGTAAAACTTTGGTACGTATCGTTTTTAAACGATAGCATAAAACATTTTTTCTCAGAATTTATAAACAATATTACTTTATACAAACAAATTTGGTAATCAAAATATGTAAGGACTGCACAAAGAAATATAAAAAAAAGGGAATATTTATCATTTTTATTCAGTGTTACAACAAAATTTGTATTAATTTGATTACTGATAAAAAATAATCTTTCCTAAATATATATTAACTTCTAAGAAATAATATATATGTGATTTCACATTGCTATATTCACATGTAGAATGCCATCTAGTATACCATACTTTCAGGCTTTACGTGTCTTCGAATGTCACTGTATCGTACGATTTAACCAGGCATCGAAACAGATTTAGAAGAAACATCATTAAACGTACAATACATTAAGAAATGGCAAGTCAAAATTACTTAAGTAACCCGAAAAATCCGTTTTTCGCTATTGAAGATGACGTCGATGATGAAACATTTCTAAAAAGTGCCCTACCAAGAACTTCAGGTCGAATTGCGTACAATTATTATACTAATTTTGATAATGATCTCGAACAAAAGCATCAACAATTATTGCAACAAAAGAAGGAAATAGAAGAACGTACAATACAATCAACGGAAAAATCTATTTCGTTATTAAGAGATTCTGAACAGATTGGAGCTGCAACTGCAGAGGTAACTTGAAGAATTTGATTCTATTTAATTGTGATAACACAATTATTACTTTTTAATTATATTTCTTGAAGTATAAAATAATGTTGTGGATTATGTTATTATCTATTTATTCTTATTATTAATAAAGTAACATATTCATATATCTGAAAACTTTCGTTTACCTAGTTTTAGCTAATAATTTAGATTATTTTCAACATATGACAAAGCTTATAAAGTTAGGAAACTATTCAGTTCAAATTTTATATTTAAGTTATTAAGATATATAAATTAATTTTTGAATTTGTGCAAAATATATACAAATGTTAAATTGTTTTACAATATACATAAAATATATATTTTTTTTAAATGCATTTTATTACATTTATACTTATATATATCTTATATGTATGTTAATGGTTTTATTTCAGGAACTTATTAGACAGCGAGAACAATTAGAAAGAACAGAAAAAAGATTGGATGATATTAATAGTACATTAAGGTTTAGTCAGAAACATATCCAAGGAATAAAAAGTGTATTTGGAAATTTAAAAAATTATCTAAGTGGTAAATCAATGGATGCACCAATACCGTCAACTATATTATCAGAGTCTTCTAGTTCTGAATCTATGGCATCTCCTGCTTTATTTAATTCTTTAGAACAAGTACAGACTAATATAGCTAATACAAGCCCTGCATTAAAGTTGCATGGCCTAAACAATGAGGTAGAAGGTACAAATGCTTTAAGTAGTAATGTGAATAAAGTACTTGAAAAAAATTTAGATGAAATGAGTGGTTCATTAGCTAGACTAAAAGGTTTAGCAATAGGATTGTCAGAAGAAATAGATTTACAAAACGATTTAATTGACAATATAACAGATAAAGCAGAAAAGACAAATATAATGCTTCAAAAACAAAACAAAGATTTGAATCATTTGTTAAAAAAGTAAAATCTTCTAAATAAGGTACATAAGATAAAATAAAGTACTTAGCATATTAAATTTCATATATCTCAAAGTTGTAAACGAATGTGTAATAAATATTGTCATATTTAGACAGATTTGAAGAATTTTATATATGTTATTTATTTTGTAAGCTTACTTTATAATATCATACAAAATATAAATTACAGTAATATAAAAACTCTCATAAAGAAAAATAAAAAAAAAGTAATACATTTATATATTTATAATTATTATTCAGTTATTAGTTTTACAGACTATATGTCAAATTATCTTAAGTTTTCCTGTGAATCTTTTTAAACTAAAATTTTTATGAATTTTATGTTAAGAATGTAACCACCTTCATGTTATATTTATGTTTATTTTTTAACCAATGGACTAAATATTATAAAAAATACTGTGATAAAAAGTCAGCTCTAATGGATAAGTAATTGGTATTTTGTAACAATTTAATATTGTTATTGAATTTTATTAAAATTATTGCAAGAGTGAACATTGTTATTAGAAACAATGTTTAATAACATTTATATTTAAGGTATACATGAAATATACTCTAAATAAATAATTAATATACATTAATAAATGTATTTCAAAATTAAGAAAAAAAATACAAATTGTAGGAAATAGATTTGAAAATATAATTCTAAAAATAATGTTCTGAATGATAGAAGTTGCTTGAAATGTAACAATTTATGTTCATGTAGTATAACAATTTTCAATAAATTTGCATGTAAATATTATCCCATAAAAATAAGTGTAAAAATATGCTACAAAACAAATTACATAAATATAAAGATTTTCTCATACCATAATTAGTTAAAATGGAAAATGTACAAGTACTTATACAAATTATAATTGCTATTTACCAATAATCCTACTTTTTATTATTTCTACTAGTATGTATTAAACATTTTGCAATATACATATAAATACAAAATAATAACTTAAATATAATGTTTATAATATAGTATAATACAAATACTGATAATAAATAAAAGATTGAGAAAAGGTAGACTATATATGTTTTAAAATATAAGAGGATGTATATAGTATCATTTAAAATATTTAGTTCTCATTTGACATTTTATATATTATGTATATATGAATATATAGAAAATGTCTTGTATAAGAAGGGCATCCATAGATTATAAGTAAAATTTTAATCTTACTGCCACTGTTAGAAAAAACTAAAAAATCGAATATACATCAGTTATAGGACCTCATTTATATAATAGATTTTTTTCCTTTAAAAACAAACTATTAATTTTCATTATATATGATTATATGTAAAACAAAATCTTCTATCTTTTATATATTTTGAATATATAAAATCAAAAAATAATGTTTCATATATAGAATTCTGTGGTATTGTTAATGTAAAAATAACAAATTAAAAAAAGTATTGCTTGGTTATATAATTAATGAAACAGTAACATTCACAAAATAATTCCATTTATGTAAGAGAAGTATTATTTAATATTTTCAAAACCAAATTTTGTTATGTTCTTTGGTTGCATTGAATGTTAAAAACAATAAAGTTAATAATTACACATACATATATGTATATATATGTTCTTTTATTTTGTATATTAAAATATAAATGATTTACAATATATTATTGATTTGATAATTCCATTTTATTTTCACTTTTTCTCCATATTCAGTTTTTTTATATTATAGTTGTTCCTCCTTTATTAGCCTGTCAATAAATAGAATAAATTAAAAAATATTACATACTAAAACGGATTTACGGCAAATAATCAAATTTAATAATTTTATATATAGATAAATTTTAAATTGACACACTTAAATTAAATGATTTTGGGAAATAATTAGATCTCTACAAATAATTAGACTTTGGAAGTTATTAATTTAAAAATTATTATAAACTGCAGTAACTTACCTGTAGTACTATTTGTACCGCTATTAGTCCCATTTCCACCACCGTTTCCATTTCCATTATTGAACCATCGACAACCAACTTTGCCGTCATGATGATGAGAAACCATGGGATGTTGAAAATTTATAGAAATTGCAGATGCCTGTCAATGAAAATGAATATCCTTTAAATGTAAAATTGAATACCATTTGAAATGAATTATATTAATATATTAAAATATTTATTGCTTTACTTACAAAAAAAATGAAAACTATCAAATTATATTTTCGCGAAACCATTTTATTTGAGATATCTATCAAATTATCGAAAATTTCAGAAACATTTGTAAAAATCGATATAAATATACTTTAGATAATGGAACATAAATATTAACATCAATATTTAGATAGATTAATTATTTATTTTATATAATTATGTGATTTTAAATAATACGAAATTAATTATCGCAAATGAGGAAACATCGTTTATAGTAGAAAAGATGAAATTTACGATACTATTGTAGATAGCGCAAAATAATTAGATGAATACGTCAATAAAATTATATCAATGATAATGCAACGCCCTCAACATTGTAGATAAATTATTTTAAAAGCGAAGTAATGAATGCAGAACAAATAACATAAATTTATTACCTTAATTGTTTCTTATTAATCCAATTTAAAATATTTTTAATTTTAAAAATTGAAAATAATATACTTTTTGTGTTTTTTGAAACTAATTTATTTTCAATTTTTTTTTATATGAACGCTATAATTTTCTTTTGCTTATCTTGTACCTAGCACTGTATCTAATTTAAGAAAAAAAAAGTAGTGAAAAAAATCAAATTCAGAATAAGACGAAAATGTAACATTAATGGTACTAAAATATTAAAATCTCACCGCAATAAAAAGTAACATAAAAAGAAATAATCGCATCTTGAAGAACTTCGTTTTAAGATATTTGAATTGAAAAAAACTGTCACAGTTTGAATGTATGCCTATTTATACTAGTTACATAGTATAATTACAGGGTTTATCTTTCATCAGAAAAATACATTTGTGCAGTCACATTTCCTGTAATCTTTCACGGTAATTGTATGTTTTTATCTCTATTTTGTGTTAATATTGTTCCTAGATAATAATTTAAAAACATGTGTTATTTAGTTTATGTAAAATTTAATTGCAGTAAGATCATACGATTTTAATCGCCTCGAAAATATTGTAGTAGGAAAAAATAATACAAAATATTGAACGGATAAAGAAATTCCATTAGTAATTCATTCACACTAAATTATTTATCTTTATTCAATATAACTTGTGAATTATTTTATTTATGAATTATTAATTATTTTATGCATTAAGTATAGAATAATTGTATTATAATTATAGATCTATTTTTCATTTCCGCTATTAATATAATATAGAATTATTATAAATCATTGAGTGCATGTATATGATGACATATATTTCGCACATAATATAATATAAAACAGACTAATAATAAAATAATCCTTATTCATAAAGATAAAAATATTTCCTATTACAAGTTAATAAAAGAATACGATTAACAAGGAGAGTGCAAGTCCTTCAGGTCATCGATTTAGTTGAAACATTACAGGTTTATAGATTTCGTCATGAAGTTCAAGAATATGTATCATTATAGTCGCAACTAAATAACTTTTGAGATATTCATGATTAAATTTTATTATACAGGTAATTATACGTTTATTTATAATATTTTGTGCGTGGAATTGTGACATAACGGCAAGAGTCGAGAATTCCTATGTCGGAGGTCTAGGGTTCGATTCTTGGCCATACGTTCGTATCTTTTTTTCAATCTATTTCTTATTTTATATTCATTTTTTGTCTATGAACACATTGTAAATAAATAATTGTAAATAAAATTTCTCAATAAAAAGATTTATTTTTTACCCTTCCTTATGCTAGTATATATTTATTACAAAATAATAAGAATATTATACAAGAAAAACAGTTTTCTATAGCAATCTTATTTATTACTAACTAATTATTAAATTAAACGTCGTATAAGAATGTTGCATATAATTCCAACTTTGCTAAGTAGCTATAAATGTTCATGAATTAATTAAAGAAATTTGGAAATTTATTAATTTCCTACTGCCGAATAAATACAAATTTTACCGCCTGCGATCAGCGCCATCTATGATTTTGGACCATATGATCGGAAAAGTAATAGGAATATAGAATAGACGAGGAGATCGTCAAACAGCTCGTCACGTGACAGACAAGGACAGAGCGGGGATAGAAAAGGATAGAATAGCTCAGTCAGTGAAAAATTATTAATTACTCAATTTCCGTAAACAATTTATGAACTTTTATAATTGCATCGTAGAGCCAGATCCTTCACGAATTTTTCAATATATTTTTCGATATAAATTTGTCCCTAATTAATTAATTATTATTAATTATTCTACGAAATGTTTGAATTATTGTCGAAGACGCCATTGGTTTTTCATTAATTACTATCCTCTTCGCAATTAATTTATGAAACCTTATGCACTCATTAGAAAGACAATGTTCTTGCGAATCTCCTCATATAACTTTTGATCACATTTTGTTTCTAATTTCGTTTAGTATTGTATATTTTCACGGAAGATCGCGATGGCCGTCGTTACGAAATCATAGACGCCATCAAACAATAATTAATAACTCATAATTTAAAGTTAAATTCTTTACAAAAGTTATATGGGAATGTTGCCTGAAGTTCCAACTTTGCAATGAAATTATGAAAGTTCACAAATTGTTTACGGAAATTGAGTAATTAATAATTTTTCACTGACTGAGCTATTCTATCCTTTTCTATCCCCGCTCTGTCCTTGTCTGTCACGTGACGAGCTGTTTGACGATCTCCTCGTCTATTCTATATTCCTATTACTTTTCCGATCATATGGTCCAAAATCATAGATGGCGCTGATCGCAGGCGGTAAAATTTGTATTTATTCGGCAGTAGGAAATTAATAAATTTCCAAATTTCTTTAATTAATTCATGAACATTTATAGCTACTTAGCAAAGTTGGAATTATATGCAACATTCTTATACGACGTTTAATTTAATAATTAGTTAGTAATAAATAAGATTGCTATAGAAAACTGTTTTTCTTGTATAATATTCTTATTATTTTGTAATAAATATATACTAGCATAAGGAAGGGTAAAAAATAAATCTTTTTATTGAGAAATTTTATTTACAATTATTTATTTACAATGTGTTCATAGACAAAAAATGAATATAAAATAAGAAATAGATTGAAAAAAAGATACGAACGTATGGCCAAGAATCGAACCCTGGACCTCCGCCATACGAATTCGCGACTGTCGCCGTTATGTCACAATTCCACGTGCAAAATATCAAAAATAAATGTATAATTAATTGTGTAATAAAATTTAATTATAAATATTTCAAAAATTATTGAGTAGTTGCAACTATCATGATACGTATTCTTGAACTGCATGACAAAATCTATAAACCTGTAAAGTATTAACTAAATCAGTGACACGAACGACTTGCACTCTCCTTGTAAGATAAATGCTTCCTTATCACAAACCTTTTTCTAATATAACAAGAACATGTAAGTTATAAAGTAACACAAATTATTCAATAACTAAAAAGGATTGAAAACAATTGCAACTTTTTTATCTCAAAGTTAAAACACTTAGTTTATAAGTTAAAGATATAACTATATATTAAATTAATGAAGAAATTTCATTTTAATGATTTAAAATGATTAAACAAATGAAAAATGTCTATCTTCAATAAATGATATTGAATCCTTCGATAATGCAACGTATGAAGTTTATGTTTATACAGTAACACTTTTGACGGATATCGATACTATATTTAGATCCACAGAACCATTTTTAAATAACTGTGTTTAACATTTTTAAAGATTTTTTATGATTAAAAGTAAGTAAATTATATACAAAATTAACAACACGTAATATTTCATTTCATTAACATTAATTTCGTATATTCTTTGCTAAACCAGAATACGTAGCACTAGTTACTTTAGAAGTAAGATGAAATGTACAAACCAAATATGATTTATATACACAGTTTATAATATATTAATTATTATATAATATAATTGATTAGCTGCCAAGAAACTATATCAATATAGAAATCGAGAAATCAATTAAAAGTCGATAATCGATATGGAAACGAAGCTTTAAGGTCTCTAGAAAGTTCTATGAAATTGATTACTTTAAATGAGCTACGAGGTCAGTTCGTTCTTAGAATTGTCTGTATTATTTAAACATAACTTTAGTGTTGCATAAAGGGTTATTTTAATACAAAAGTATTACTTAAATATTCACACGACGTAGGTATTTTTGAAATATAGTATTTAATTTTATACACCTTCGTTTCTATTAAATATATATGATGTGTCGAATAAATGTACACATCTTATACTCTCTGTACACATTGTTATATTTTCTATTTCTGTAATCGTTAGTTGCACTAACATCGTATATTTTTATTAGTATATTTTATGAATTGCATAGCATATTAATTTCTAACTCATTACTAGCATTTTCTCTTTTATTGAGGTGAAAAAATATCTTTTGTTATTATCTGTATTATATTTACTTTGAGTTTGGTATTTACAACCAAGTTTGTTACTTTAGTGATGTAAAATAGTAATTGAAAATACAGCATTAAATAAAAAATATTTTTTTATTTTTTTATCTTTTTTGAACTTAGAATGACTATAATAGATATATCCCCCGACAAGGATGGAGGTGTTATGAAAGAAATAATTAAGGAAGGTATTGGAGATGAAACTCCATCAAATGGAAGCAAAGTAACAGTTCATTATACTGGTACATTATTAGATGGAACAAAGTTTGATTCAAGCAGAGATCGTAATGAACCATTTCAATTTAAACTTAAAAGAGGAGCTGTTATTAAAGCATGGAATATAGGAGTAGCTACTATGAAGAAAGGTGAAATTGCATTATTGACTTGTGCTCCCGAATATGCATATGGAAAAAATGGTAGTCCACCTAAAATTCCACCGAATGCTACACTTAAATTTGAAGTAAGTTACTAAACCTAAATCACTAACAGTTGCATGTGAAAATATTAATTTATCTTAATAATTTACATAAAATATCATTTAATTATAAATGTAATATAATATAATAAAATATTATTCATTCTTTAGATTGAAATGATTGATTGGAAAGCAGAAGATTTAAGTCCTGAAAAAAATGGAAGTATTGAGAGGTATCCAATCGTACAAGGGAAAGATTTTTCTTTTCCAGAAAAAGGAGGTTTAGTGGATGGTAATAATATTTATATGATACGTTATATATTTGTGTACATATGTATTTCACATTATATATATTTTAAACAGTATACTATATAATAAATTTATTTCATTTTCAGTACATTTAACAGGAATGTATAATGGAAAAGTATTTGAAGATAGAGATGTAAAATTTCCCCTTGAAGAAGGAGAAGAATATGATGTTATAGAAGGAGTAGAAAAGGCCTTAGAAAAATTTAAACGTGGAGAAAAATCAAAACTTAAAATTAAAAGCCAATATGCATTTAAAGACACAGGAAAACCTGAATTTGGTATTCCACCAAATGCAACTGTAGAATATATAGTGGAGCTAAAGAGCTTTGAAAAAGTAATTATTTCATTAAGATATATAAAATAATAAATTAATTATATTATTTCTTAATTAACACATTTCATTTTAGCAAACGCAAAAGATGCTTTTAAGTAAAAAGGAACGGCTTGAACAAGCTAAAATTTGCAAAGAAAGAGCAGCAACTTATATCAAAGCAAATAAATACAGCTTAGCAATTAAAATGTATAAAAAAGTCTACTCATATTTGTTACGTTACTCTTGTGAAATGGACAATAAAGATACTATCAAAACTGAAAATGATGTTTTCACATCTGATGAAGATGCACTTGCTTTATCAGTACACTTAAATCTAGCATTATGTTACTTAAAGACAAATCAAAATGTTAGTGCAAAAAATGCATGTAATGATGCTTTGCAATTAAGTCCACAAAATGAAAAAGCACTCTTCAGAAGAGGACAGGCATATCTTGCATTAGCATCTCCTGAAATTGCAATTAAGGACTTCCAAGAAGTTTTGAAAATACAACCAAAAAATACAGCAGCTGTGAAACAAATTGAAGTTTGTAATAATCTCATTAAAAAGCAATTATCAAAAGAAAAAAGGCTGTATGCAAATATGTTTGACAAATTTGCTCAAGAGGATAAACAGGTTTGTGAAAAACAGCAGTAATTTTATGTAATATACGTTACAAAATTTAATTCTTTATTATTATTCACTTATATGTATAATTTTAATAACTGATAGCATGATTTTTATTTATATTACAATTTATAATTAAGAAAGTATATAATACACAGTAATGTTGATTACATTTATGACGAATTAAGTATATGTTCAAAATAAATTTCTGCATTATTTCAATGTGATATGTGTGACCATAAATTGTTAGTAATGTCACAGAAGGAAGAGGAAAAGCTGCAAGACCAACCAGATGTAATGTGTGGAGCATTAGGTGAATGGGGGCAGGAAGAACGACCTGGAGGTAGAGATGCAACTGCTTTTGAGAAGGAAAATCCTAATATACTTATGCTCAATGCTAATGGAACTGATGAATTTCAAAATATGTAAAATGATGATAATTCCACTGCCCCATTTTTAACTACCAACAGTATAAAATTCTGTTAACCATTGATTTTTAACGAGTTTTGAGTACTACACTGACAGTAGTACATAAAAATGAATGTCATACAGTTTACTAGTATTCTGTGACACAGTGCAACCTAGTCAAAAAATATTTTGCATAACTAAATCAGAATTTTTAAGAAATAAAATTTTTTACTTGATACCTTGTTCATTTTTCATACAAGTTCAAAACCAGAATTATAAATTCAAATTCAATAGAAATTTATTTTATAATTTTAAAAAGTGTAATTGATATTATTCATAAAACTTTTATTCCGAATTATATTTACATTATATATGATTGAATCCATATAATTGTAATATAGTATGACAAAACTGAATGATAATATAATCCTTGAACAAGTTATATTCTTCACCTTCATTTACCTTTATATAAATAATTTTGTAAATTATTATTATTATTATTATTATTATTAAACAATAAAAACAAGGTAAGTGGTATCAACATTCATATAAATTTTACATTGTTCAAAATAATTATTTGAACAGATTAATGTGTTGTTTATTCCAATTTTTAAAAATATAATTCACAAGGTAATGATAAATTTCGAATTTTTTATGTGCATAGTGATCATTTTTTAATATTTTCACATACAAGATCTAATTAATTTGAATAAAGAAAAAAAAAAAATAAATGTTAATACAGAAAATTGAAGACCAGATCTACAGCTTACAAGACATCAGTATTTTTTTAATGTAACATTGACTAATTTTGTAAACGTTTAAATTAACTGTGTTTTAAACATAATGATAAAACTTTAATCATAAATATGTACCTAAAAAACTATTAAGTATCTGTTCTTATGATGTTATGTATGTATTTATAATCAGAATAATTAAACCTACAAGTATGCAAAGCTTCAGTTAAATCGGTGTCCTGAAGTACATTTTTGTTAGCGTTATTTAACCTTAATTTCTATAGGGTCTCTTTAAAATCGGTTCATGCTTTTTTTCAAGCTATATTACGTAATTTACGTTTAGCTGTTTAACTATTTATTATCTAGTTTCCGAGATATGAATTAAAAACTTTTGATACTATCTGATATTACTTTCAGTACTTCAACATTTATTTACTCACTGAAATGAAAACGTAATATGGTATGGAGAAGTCAGGCAGATTTTAAATGGAATACTTTATAAAAATTGAGAACAGATATCATTACATGTCTTCGGTTATATGACACTCGACGAAAACAGTTATTTAATATCATCTGCATAAACTAATTTTCTATGTTAGTAGTAAAAGTTTTTCATGGATATTTCAGAAACTATTAAATATCCAAAACTAATATTTTACATTTACAACCTATCCCTCCTCTTTATATGAAAATTATTTTTGTAATTAAAAATGCATGACAAAATAATCTACAATCTTAATAAATATTTATGATCAAATTTTTAGAAATATTTAAATATGCATATTTTACTTTATACTTTATAACACATATTTTCACTAAAATATATAGTTAGAAAATTTTTTATATACATATGCGTTGTTAAAATTTCGAAAATAAAAGGTAAAGGCAAGTGCCAACTCGCTTAGCAACAGTTATGTTGATACAGCAATAAAGATTGTAACAAAAAACCTATAGCTTTAATTAAAATGTAAGCGGCTAGATAATAATTGAATTTTTTGTTTAGTTTATAAAGTACATCTTATAATACTAACATTTGAGATATAAGTGTATTAAACTAAGTATATCAAAGTTAAAAATTTAAGACTTATAATGTAACGAAAAATTATGCAATTGATTTAACTGAATGTATAAACTATAAGAGAAAATATTATTAATTATGTTAAATTATGCACTTTCATTTCACGTTTTTACTATTGGTTATTGTACAAATTTAACGAATACTATATTATGCTATCTTATTGGCAACTTTTATTATTTCATGTGTTAAACCAATGATATGTTTCTAAGTACATTACTAACACAGATTCAATGACTACTAACAGTATACGTTTAAGGAGATCACCGCGAAACCACAGACTCATATAATCTTTATTCCTCGAGAGGACTCGATCTAAATTGTGTACTAAGAGTGAAGTGAAAAAATAATTCTTTTTTAAAATGCCTAATATTATAAATGATATCAAATTAGACTTTAAAGATGTTTTACTACGTCCAAAAAGAAGTACATTAAAAAGTAGATCAGATGTAAGTAACATTCGTATAAAATATATAAAACAATACAAGTTGACATTTTTCATGCCTTTTACTTCATTTTTTTTAATTTATTAATAAAATTTAGTTAAACTTCACACATTGTTATATCATATATAATTGTAATAATACAATATATTTTGTAACATTTATTTTTTTTCCTTATATATGTATAAAAAATATATTAAGAAATTTTTATGGACATAAAAATATATTGCCTCTTTATTTTTTTAAATTTTGCTATTTTAATATTAAAAATAAAAATAAATTCTTTACTTTAATACATCACATTTATTATTTTAATAAATTGTCAAATCATAGGCATTTATATATTTTACCATCTATAAACATTCATTAAGATAGTTTGATATTTAATAATAACATAGGAAACTTATAATTTTAGGTTGATTTATTCACAGAAATTACATTTCGCAATTCAAAACAAACTTACAATGGAATACCTATAATCGGTTCAAATATGGATACAGTAGGAACATTTGAAATGGCAAGAGCCTTAGCAATGGTATATTTTAAATATTTATTTATTTTAATATAATATAACTGACATTTCTTATATAAATATAATTTATAAAGAGATAATCATATATTGATATTTAAAAAATTTTGTGCTGTACAATGTTGGCAAAATTCATATTTTCATATTAGTTTTATATTATTCTAGCATGGTCTGTTTACTACAATCCATAAATATTATTCAGTAGAAGAATGGGAAGATTTTGCTACCAGAGATCCTAAATGCCTTAAGTATGTAGCTGCTAGCTCTGGCACAGGAAACGAAGATTTTGAACGGTTGTCAAATGTTTTGACAGCTATACCAGAATTATCTTTTATTTGTTTAGATGTTGCTAATGGTTATTCTCAACATTTTGTTGAATATGTTAGAAAAGTGAGAGCAGAGTTCCCTAATCACACAATAATTGTAAGTACATGTATTATAATATTGTAATATTTAATGAGATAGTAGAAGAAATATTAATTTAATTATTCATATTAATTTAAACTTTGCATTTAAATATAAAGATTAAGTACTGCTATTGTAGGCAGGAAATGTGGTTACTGGTGAAATGGTAGAAGAATTAATATTATCTGGAGCTGATATTATAAAAGTTGGAATTGGTCCTGGATCTGTCTGTACTACACGAATGAAGACTGGTGTAGGATACCCACAATTAAGTGCTGTAATTGAATGTGCAGATGCTGCTCATGGTTTAAAAGGACACATTATTTCTGTAAATAGTGATATACTGTTTTTATATATGTAATAATATTTACATAAAAATAATTATATGTAATTTACTAATAACTGTATTTTATTTTAGGATGGCGGTTGCACTTGTCCAGGTGATTTAGCAAAAGCTTTTGGTGCTGGAGCAGATTTTGTAATGGTAGGTGGTATGTTTGCTGGACATGATGAATGTGGAGGTGATATTATTGAAAAGGATGGAAAAAAGTTCAAACTTTTTTATGGTATGGCTTCAAACACAGCAATGAAAAAACATGCTGGAGTTGCTGAATATAGGTTGGTGTATATATAGAATTATAATTATAAAAGTAAATTATAGTCTTAGATTTATGCTCTAAATTTTTTCAGATCATCAGAAGGTAAAACTGTGGAAGTACCTTACAAAGGCCCAGTAGATAATACTGTATTAGATATATTAGGCGGTTTGCGTTCTGCATGCACATATACAGGAGCTGAACGATTACGTGAATTACCACGTCGTGCTACATTTATACGTTGTACGCAACAATTAAATCCAATGTATGGTCCACCGCCAGAAATCTGAAGTTATTTTAATTACCTAATATATTGTAGTACAATTTTAATAAAAATGATATTATTGGGAATAATATTATTAACGTAGACTATTAACGAATACTATTATTTGCTGGTAATCTCTATGTAAAAATTTAGAAGCTTTAATTAATGTAAGTCTCGATACGTTTTGACGACGAATTTTAAATTGCATTGAATTCAATGTATTTGAAAAAAAAACAACGCTTAACAGCACAAACAGATATTTTATTTTTATATTTATATTCTCTTCATTAATGCTTTATGCTTATCTATTACATAACTTGTACTTGCACAGAGTGTTTCAACTAAATGGGATCAACTAAATAAGATGAAAGAACTATGTGTGCCCTTTGAAACAGTGCAACTTTGTCCTAAAAAGTTTTTTTATACAACCAAAAATAAGGCAAATAATTAGATAATCCCATTTATTTGAGACACACTGCATATCGCTACAGATATTTAATATACAAATACAAACTACTAACGTTAGAGTGAAATATTCATAATTGTATTTTATAAAATTATTCTGTAAAGTTAAGAAAATTATATGTTTGTTATATATGTGCATATAGTTTTTAATAAATTGATTATTAATGTACATGTAGAAAATAACTTTTTGTACAATGCGTCCATTATAAATTATTTTAAACATATGTATAATACGTGCGCTAAAAAAATGTTTGTAAAAATATGAAAGACGGAAATTTTGAAATTATTAATTAATGATTACTTTACAAGTAATAAATAATTGTATGTCGAAGTAAATTTTATTATGGAATTTTTATTCCTCTTCATTAAAAATTAATAATTTTACAAACCTTGTTACAAACCAATTTACTTTCCTCTAAGAATTGTTGAAGCCAACATTGTACGTAAATACCGCAGCTTTTAAGTATCCATTACTTGAATGCCCTGATTAAAAGGATTGAAAAGTGTTATCCTTGGTCCTGAAACATTTCCATTACTTTTATGTATTGTTATAGTTGCAAATATACATTGAATGTAATGATTAAAAAGAACCTATATAATATTCTCTATTGATAATTATTTTTAAATCGTGTTAATACACAAATATAATTAATCTTTTATAATAACTAATTAAAGAATTAAATATTACTCGATTTTACTTACTTTAAACACAAATCATAATTGACACACAAGAATATACTGTTGAAACACAAATATAAATATAAATTTTCTTAAACTTTTTGCTGTAATATAAAATAAAAACAATCTTTTTTAAATATTTGCTATTATTGTAATAAATGCTATGATTGTAATGTTATTTGTAATTTTTGTATTGAATCTACTAACTATAAAAAAGAAACATACCAAAATTTAAAGATGTAGCAAAAAAATAAATACATAATTGTTTACAAAAGATATATTACTTAAAATCATACCAGACCATGACCGGTTTTATTCACAACTGAAACAAAAAGGATAAATCAAAATTTGAATTTTCATATTATCTATATGCAATTTAATAAAAAATATAAGGTAAAATTCATTTTGAAATTTAACTATCAATGATATATTTTCATGTCTAGATGTGGAGATTATGATTCAATAAAACGAAATTTACATAAAATTTTATTTTAATTACGTTATTTTTGTTCTGTTCAAATATATTTGTACATATAGATATTCAACCATGAACTTCATTTAAATATAATAAAACATTAGCAATAGAAACAGATATATAAAATAAATAAAGATCTAATCCTGAAAAATTAAACATGTTTGATATGTATAATAAAGCAATATATTTGTAAAATACACAAAAATATATTGAGTAAAAAAATAATTTTATTTCTTATGTATATCAATACATTTATAGTAATATCTACTATCTATTTTGAAGAAAAATTCAATATCTTCTTTTTATCATTGCAAGTGGAAATTACAACATTTGTTGAAAACATAAATAACAAATTTTTATTTGAAATTTTGTTTAGTGCATATTTCTAAATCTCATATTCAAATTTTCACTTAATTAAAAGTATAAGAAAAAAGAAAAGAATATATTAACAATAAATATAGAAATACAATATTCTTTTTTAATAAATTACTTATTCGAAATTCAGTTAGGTTTGTTTTAATAAGTAAAATATTACATATAAGAAACAACAAAAATATAACAAAAAGATTTGCCAATTACTTTCATAAAAATTTTTCCTAGTTAACATAACATAAATACACAGAAATATTTGAATTCTAGGTAATAAAAAATCTACAAATTCAATTTTGATAAAATTTGAATGATTTGGTAGTTTGTTTTACATATGACTAGTAGAATTTGTTGACAATTGTCTAATATAATTAATACATTCATATGAATAACCATTTTATAAAATTAGTAAATAATATATATGATTTTAGAAGTTGTATATAACAAACAATGATTTGATATGCCATCCATTATTCTCCAGTTTAGCGAGTCCTGATTCCTTTGAATATAAACACACAGAATGCTGAATAAAAGATTTAAAACAGTAGGATCCCCTTGATGAAATTTAATGTAGAACAGGTAGACGTCCCTATAACTGGCAGCTCCGAAAATCTAAAATAGTAGTGGTATTTGACAAGAAAAAGCAAAGGAACCAAGGTAAAATTGTATTTAGTATTGTTATAATAGTATATACGTGTACGTAGACCATCATATGTGTATCATACTCTCTTGCATACATAATAGATAAAACAATTCATAAACAATAAAAACGAACCTTCGCTGTCTTTACAGCCAACTTTATACTTATAAAGTTTTCCTAATTTACTAAAGACAAATGTTTCATGAATGAACCAGTGAAACATAAATAATGACATATCGAAATAAGTATCTAGATGTTTTTCTTATCAATACATTGGTAAGGATAATTTTTAGTATCTTTAATGATAAATGGGAAGCATAATATGGATATATTGTTGCAGATTCCTCGTTCCTGTTTCTGACCTGCTGCTTCACCTGCCAGTTTCAATTTATAGTACAATTAGATGTTATGGAACAAAAATACATACAATAGTATAAGTAGAACACAAGTAGACATCATGTTAATATCATATTATAATGTTAAATTTCTGGCATTTCTCATTACTTAAAATTAAAACCATGAGTATCCTACAATATGTATATATCTATGTATATAAAAAACACAAAATATTATAATATAAATAGAACATAATAATTGGTTCTAGTGGCATTTTTGAAAGTTTATGGATTTTGCGAAGCGATCAACTATCGTAATTTATTGTAAACAGTATATGAAGTTACAGCAGGCATTAACCGCATCCCGATGGGAAACTATCTGAAAACTATCTGAAATAAACAAACAATTATAATAAAACATGTGAAGCATATATAAATATAAATATACTTTCAAAGGTGTAAAATATATCATTTTAATATTTAAATAAAACATTAAAATATCATAGATTTATAATTTCTATAAACATTTAACTCCCTGAAAGTATCAACAGTTATCAGTGTGGGTATGATATTCCCTTCTTCTTACACCATTGATTTTCATAATAAACAGCAAATATCAAGCCAATATAAATGTAAGTGATTGGACATAGCATATGATTAATTGTGTATGCAAAGAATAATATTTTATTAGTATCAAATTATTTCGTGTGTATTATGATATATTGGAAAACATTGTATCCTGAGTAGAGAAGGGTATATATTGTTTAATCATGTTCTATAGACATATACTGAAATATTTATACATAAAGAATACATAATATGCTACAATATTCATGAAATATGAATTATTGTACTTGTTTTTGTATAAAAAATTTATACAAAATTTTGAACACATCTGTTTTGTTAAATGATTTTCCACTTATATTAATTAATAATAAAAAATAACGAAGAAAATAAATAAACAAATAAACGGAAATTCAACAGTTTTCAATTCTTAATTTTGTAATTATATCAAATTAAATTATATTAAACAAATTTACATTTGAATTTCATGAATATTTTTCTGGATTCCCAAAAATAATTTATAACCACAATAAATTATAGTACAGCTACATATTTAATTATATTTTTCCCTGATATTTCAGAATATTTAAAAATTGCGTGTTTATATTGCACTCGATTTTACATTGACTTAATATAAATGAATATATAGAAACATTGTATGATACAAAAAAGAAACATATATACAGAGTGTTCCAACAACGGTAGTACAACAGGAAAGGGGTTGATTTTACATGCAAAAACAAATCGAAAAAAAAAAAGGAATAAAATTTTTTGATTCGAAGCTTCGTTTTCGAGAAAATCGATTTTGAATATCCACCGAATGCGCTGATATACTTATAGTCTATCTGCCTTAGCCAAAGTTAAGTGCATTCGAACTCGGTGAATATTCAAAGTCAATTTTCTCGAAAACGAAGTTTCGAATCAAAAAATTATATTCTATTTTTTCAATTCGTTTCCGCATGTAGGATCACTCCCTTCCCGATTCTACTATTTTTGCTGGGACACCTTGTTTATATGTATATATATATAAAAAAATATATATATCTATAAAAAAACTAAAAACAATAAATTATTAGTTTCCCGAGATTCTTGAACTTCTAATACTAAAGTACTTAAGAAATAAAATGAGATTACAAGTATATGCAAATGTTAAACAATCTTGTTCTGTCAGTAGAATAAAATTTTCATATCATACAATTTTCTAATAATTCATGCATGTTTATTTACGATATGTAAAAATGAATACTTACAGCTAATATTTTTCCTGATAGAAGTTTAACTTTCTGTATTTGTTTGTGAATAAGGGTAGTTCTGATAGCCCGTTGGGAAAGATGGATTTTGTTGACCGGTTTGTGGCTGTGTGGTAGACCCAGCTCCTGCTGCATAATAACCCGTTGGAGTTGAACTAGCATTTATTGTTGGATAACTACCATAAGCTTGTGGAAATGCATTAGGAGTCCCACTTGCTGGACCAGATTGACTTTGCATACTTTGTTGCATTTGTTGTTGAGCCATTTGATTATTTTGCATTCCCAACTAACAAAAAGAAAGTATATTACTTAATTTTTTAATATTATAATCCATTATGTTACAATTTTTTTATATTTTTAATGCTAAACATACCTTCCCTGCTTTCATTTGCGCTTCTATAGCTTCAGCTTCTTTTATTTTACCAATACTTCTATAATACTCAGCCCATTGTGCACTATAGTCAGCCTGTCCACCATTCTGTGTAGCTCCAGTTTGTTGTTGTTGTTGTGTTTGTTGTTGTTGTTGTTGAGCTGGTCCAGTAGTACCAGTTGTTGATGTATTAGTTTGATTCTGTGTATTGCCTATATACAAAAATTAATTTATGTTTATATTAAATATTGATTTACTTTACAGTAATCTATTTTATGAGTGAAATGTAATATTTACATCATTTGAATCAACTTTACAGTTTTACAATACTTTACCTGACTGTTGATTGTGATCTTGTTTTCCTTGTTTTGCTTGTTGTTCAATCATATCTGCTTCTCTATGCATCCCAAGTGATCGATAATATTCTGCCCACTGTGCACTATAATCTGGTTGACCTGTTTGTGGATTTACTTGAACAGGTGCTTGACTTGCAGTACCTTGAACAATATATAATG